ATTTCACGGAAATGAATAAGTGCCTAGAGACGGTTGCTAATAACATACTAAACCCACAAGGAGTATGAAATATAGTAGCAATCATACTGTGGTAAAAACTGCTGTTTGAATTTTAACGCTTTTGTCTGGAGCACCTGATTAAACACAGGATATTGCCAGGACCAGTTTGACAAAGTGGATAGAGCGTCGGTCTGCGGACTGAAAGGTCCCGGGTTCGATTCTGGTCAAGGGCATGTACCTTGGTTGCAGACACATCCCCAGTGGGGGGTGTGCAAGAGGCAGCTGGTCAGTGTTTCTCTCATCGACGTTTCTAACTCTCTGTCCCTCTCAATTCCTCTCTGTGTAAAATCAATAAAATATATTTTAAAAAAATAAAATAAATAAACACAGGATATTTACCTTAGCTTTCAGGTGGAGACCTGGAGGCTAAGGCAATTTTCCCTTGCCTGGGACCAGGACCACAGGAGATGGATTCCCACTGATTCAGTAACCTTCAGAGATAGAAACTGTAGCTAACCTCTGAGCTCTACTGCTGTGTTATCAGCTATTACAAGATAGGGCCACATTCCAATGTCCTGCAGGATGTGACTGGGAACCAACCCCAGTTTTTAGAATGTAGTCTTTAGGATTTAGAATTTAGAACGAAGGAAAATTCCTGTGGTTTGAGCCTTTAAAAGGACTGGCTACACCTGAAACAGTCGTGTGGAGTCTGCCTGTTTTTCAATAAATCCTTGCCTGCTTTTTTATTTTGTTTTAATCAATCTTCAGCCTCCGGTGGTCTTATTTTGAACCCAGGGTTCGACCCCACAACAGAGCAGATTTAGGCTTATTTTCCAGGCAGGCTGCGTTCCAGACAAGATAGAGCGTTTTTGTTTGTTGCTTGACAAATGTCATTTTAAAACACTGATCTGGGGGAAATGTTTTGTAGCTTTGGCTTCCGGCTCCCCTGCAGCCTTCGGCACATCCCATAACATGGGTCCACCCTTCCCCAAATGCCAGACCTCAAGAGCAAATGCACCTCTCCCTCCTCCCCCCCACCCTCCCTAGCATCGCCCCTTCTGCATGGCCCGCTCCAACAACTTAAGAAAAAACAGGAAACACACTGAACGGGAGGGCCAGCTGCACAGGGTACAACACCAGCTCTGAGGCCTGAGGACGTTATCACATACCCCCATCTCAGAACAACACGCTACGCTGAGAGTCAGATCGCCATGTGCCGGACAGGGTTATTCCAGCTGACTCAAACAAGGGCCCACACAGGTGTCCTGATGATCTCCATTTTACTGATGAGAAAACAAAAAGGAAGCCATCCATCGGTCCCAAGGGACAAAGAGGATATGTCACAGAATCGAACCCTGGTGTTTAGGCTCAGTTTGACCTGCGTTTGTACACCCAGACCCAGGGAAAAGCCCTGAGACGGGAAATCCACCTTGGTAAGTGGAGGGCAGGGAAAAACAAGATAGAAAAAAAAAGTAGAAGAAAAAAGCTTGGCCCCCTCCAGTCTGGTCATTAACGACTTATTAAGGGAAACTTACGTACAAGGAGTGTCTTAGGTAAATGAGAGATAAAAATGAGCCTGGCCCGGCTTGGCAGGCACCAGCGAGTTACATAGGGTAAAGGGGTGGGGGGTGGAGTGGGGTGAGGGGGACAGGCAAGGGCACTAGTACAGAACCGGAATGCCACCAGGGAGGCGAGATTACTAAGTGCATGCTTGACCAGGTCAGGACAACAGCCTCTCCCAGGAACCAGCACACAGCAGGCGGCCAGGAACGGATGTTGACTTCTTCGCTTGAACATTGATTACCATCAGTCCCTAAGGGGGGATGAGCAGAGAACAGCCTCAGGCCCGGCCCAGGCCCAGCTCGTGGGGCAGCACAGTCTCATCATGGCACAGTTCCTCTGCACTCGGTCCCTGTCCAGGTATCCCTGTGGGCCACATGGATAGATTCAGGAAGTCTTCCCTGTGTAGGTGGTGACTGGTGTGGATAAGACCTTAGAACGGGGAGTGTGTGAGGAGTTGGGAATTCATTCTCATCGGGAGGATGAGGTGGAGCAGTTCAGTTTCAGGTAAAGAGAGGAGAGAACCACGCACGTGCAGAGAGCGCTGCATACTCAGGAGATAACTAGCAGCTGTGTATGCCTATGGCTTGGGAGGGAGCTTGGGGTGCAGATGGAGGGGGGGTCCAGAAAGATGAGCCTAAAAAAGTAAATGTGGGGACAGGTTGCAAACGGTCCTGGTGGTAGCACTGCACAGGTGAAGCAACATGCCTCCCAATTTTATTGTGCCCTCTAACTTTTGGGAAGCCTGAAAATGGTTGCCATGGCTACAACCCCTTTCCTAGATCTTTTCACAGGGATCGCCATGCTAGGGATCACATAAACCCTCCATTGTGACCATGTGACGCTCATGAAAGGCCTACGAGGTAGCCTGGCATTGGAATTTTGTGCAAATGAGATGACAGTGAGAGGATAGACCACTGAGATTCTCTCTTGAAAACCAAATGTGAGCCCTAGCCAGCTTGGCTTAGTGGATAGAGCCTTGGCCTGAGGACCAAAAGGTCCCGGGTTTGACTCCGGTCAAGGGCAAGGGCATCATGTACCTTGGTTGCAGGTTCCTCCCTGGCCCAGGCCCTGGTTGGGGGTCATGCAGAAAGCAACCAATGTGTTTCTCCCACATCGATTTTTTTTTTTCTATCTGTCTTTCCCTCTCTCTTCTCCTCTCCCTAAAAATCAATGGAAAAATATCCTCAAGTGAGGATTAACAAACAAAAAAAGAAAACCAAAGGTGAGGAGAGTCATCAGTGCACAGTAGGATCAAAAGTTAGGCAAAGGCATGCCTCAGAAGTCAAGAATCAGTAAGCAGACATAATGAACATTCAGAAGCTGTGAGTAAGCAGAAGTTATGCATCAGCTGGAGTACTGGTAAACAAGTCTCAAAATGGAAGGAATAGAGGAAAGTGAGGTTAGAACGAGGGCAGTAGGGACAGAGGGAGGGAGACTATAAGAAACAAAGTCCTGCCAAAGCCGGTTTGGCTCAGTGGTAGAGCGTCGGTCTTCGGACTGAAAGGTCCCAGGTTCGATTCCGGTCAAGGGCATGTACCTTGGTTGTGGGCACATCCCCAATAGAGGGTGTGCAGGAGGCAGCTGATTGATGATTCTCTCTCATTGATGTTTCTAACTCTCTATCCCTCTCTGTAAAAAATCAATAAAATATATTTTTTAAATTTATTTAAAAAGAGGGGTGCTGCTAAACTTTAAACTGGTGTGTGGCATAGACAACAGTGCCTCTTCCTTTCTACTCATTTCCACTGCGTCTGGCTTCAAAAGTCTGACTCAATGGGATCTCATAGTTGTTTCTCCAAACTCGCTCCGCATGAAAGGAAGGGACACTTCATAGCATGTTTTTTTCATGCTCTTCTTGACTCCAAATGAGCCCAGCCTCTGACCTTGAAATCCTAGTTTTGTCCTCCAGCTCAAGCCAAGTTGGGTAGGCCTCCTCTGCAGCTTTTGTCCCCTGGTGATCCTGCTTCTCCAGCTGACCCAGAATCCTCAGCCAGCCCTAGGGGCGCTCTATAGAGTCTCATCCAGGAGACAGAGAGAGGCCCAGAAAAGGCAATTCATTCATTCAGAAAATAATGTATTATGGACCTTTTATGTGGCAAACATGCTGCTAGTTACTGGGGATACAGTAGTGACTCGGGCAGAGACCTACTTTCAAGGAGCTTCGAGTCTAATGGAGGAAACACACATTGAACAGATAATCATAAGAGTGATGAATATCACCTACTCTAGATCCAGCACATTGTCTCCAAGAGAGGCAGGCAGGGAAGAAGTAGAGGAAGCCTGGGGGCTCTCTCCCACCCAGTTTCCCCAAAGTTCCAGCTTTATACCAGGGGGAGGCCTCGCTGCATCTGTCCCCTCAGCTTGGCTACTCCTGGGGAAGAACATACAGCTCAAGGCACAGCTTTCCCTTGTTGATCCCTTTTCTGTGCCCATAGCATGTAAATTCTCTGGTTACCCATTTGAGTTTGCCATCTGCTTCCTGCCAAAACCATGGTTGATATAGACCTTTATGAAGAGACTATTTACATAGTGGGAGGGTTAAGGAAAAGGAAGGAAAGAAGGAAGGAAGGAAGGAAGGAAGGAAGGAAGGGAGGAAGGAAAGTTGGAGCATCCAGATTTTAGCACAGAAAGAATCTCTCATCCTTAGGCCTAAGGGGACAGGGGAAGAAAAACATGTTGCAATAGCCTGGTTGAGAGCTGGAACCATGGGAGAGGACACTTGACAAAAGCTCCATCATGGAAAGACCCAGCCAGTGTCAGACTGGCAGGAATAGGAACAACAAGTATTTCAATCTCAATCTTTCTCCCCCCCCTCCTCCTCCTTTTTCTCCTCCTTCTTCTTCTCCTCCCCTTTCTTCTCTCTCTCTCTCTTTCCCTCCTCTCTTTTTTCTGTTTCTCTCCCTCCCTCCCTCTCCCTCTGTCTGTGTGTGTGTGTCTGTTTCCTCCCTCCAATCTTCCATTGGCTAAACCCAACCTGAATTCAATGCCAACCAGCACTCAGGGAATCAAGTCCATAGAGGCCAGCCATCAGGGGTACAGGGCCAACAAAGGGCTCATTTAGAGACCCAAAGACAAAATAACCAGTCAGCCACACTTCACTCTCAAGAACACTTTAAGAAGGGAGGATAGAGCTTTTAAATTTTATTACAAAGGCTATATGTTATTTTGATAGATTTTTTTTTTTTAATAGGGCAGAGAGCCCCAACACACCACCTTGCACGTGACAAACACATAACCTGCACTGGCACAGTTGGATGGGTTGTTGGAGGGCCAACCTGAGAACCTCAGAGCACAGCTCATTGTTAGCAAACATGGGTTGGTGCTGAGGTTCTAGAATTCCCAGAAGCAGTAACTCAGCACTGGGAGCTCCTGCTCACAGTTTCTCTTTACAGCTCTTGGGTGCCCTCCACCAGGGTTCCCTCTGTCCCAAAATCCAGATGAAGTTTCTCTTGCTAGTGAGTCTTTATCTGCTTGGATCTGCCAGAGGTGAGTCCTCTATCTTAGCTCTGGGTAGATGTGTAAGAGGACTCTTTAAGATGTTTCAGCCCTTGAAGAAGGAAGACTGGTATCTTAGTTACCGCAATCAGTCTGACTCACATTCAGGAAGAGCTAAACAACTTCAACTCTGAGCCAGTTGATTCCTTCTGGCTATGGCTTTACCATCAGAGGAGCCCACTGGCATGCCCCAGGCCTGTTCCTACTTCATTCAGCCACTCAGTACTTGTACCTGATGCTCTGTGAGATGAGAATATACACTGAGTGGCCAGATTATTATGATCTCTGAAAGCATAATAATCTGGCCACTCAGTGTATATCCTATATAATAAAAGGATAATATGCAAATTGTCCCCTCGACCAGGAATTTGACCAGCAAGCAGGCCGGCCAACCGCCCAAGTCCCATGCACGAATTCATGGACTTGGCCTCTAATATATACACTGAGAGGCCAGATTATTATGCATTCAGAGATCATCATAATCTGGTCACTCCGTGTAGGTCTAGAGTTCTATGGAAGTCTAATGAAAGCTTGTTCCAGTGAACTGAATGCAAGAGAGCCTTGTGCAGTTAATGTTTAAAGGAAAGCTACAAGGAAATGGATGTAAAGTCCCAGAAAGCAATGTGAGGACGCAGCAGGGCTGGGACCAGAGTTTACTGGCACACCTCTCTCTCCTGGCTTCCAGGTGTCTGTATTTCCTCTTTAGGACCCACATTCATGGTGGGCTGTGTTTCTTCCTCCTTCCTCCTTCCTCCAGGAGAAAAGAGAGACCATGAACTCTGAGCTGTTGGTTAAATGACAAAGTGTTTTCCTATAACATCAGTTCTCAGACATTTTGTTTTTGGCCTTTTTAGATTTTCAAAGGTTGACTCAGAAACATAGATACATAGCTACCAGGTGGTAATATATGTCAGCTGCATGGTAAAGCAGTGACTCAGAAACTATAAGGTTGACTCAGAAATCAGTGCGCTTTTTCAAACTTCCTTTCTATAGTAGAAATACCTCTTTGTTAAAGCTTCTGTTAACTATTGAAGAACCAGTCAAGCAGATAATTCTGTAATGATTGTTAAAAGTAAATACCTCCTTAAAAGCCTTACTCAGTCTTACCTTTCCTCCTTTATCCACATATTATGAGCTTAGTTTTTCCGGAAAGTTGTTGATTTTAAGGACTGCAAATCACCTTAAGGAATGAATGAGTCAGAACTCTTAGAAAGCCAGAGGACTGTGGGGTCTTGGCCTCCCCGTCTAAAAGATCTTGTAATTCCTCTCAGCTTTTGGCTAGGTCAATAACTCAATCATTATAGTTTGCTTTCCCTCCTCTAGGTTACTCAGTCAAATCAAAGAGTTAATACTCAAATTCTATTTGGTGCCTCACTCGATAAAATGAAAGTCATAATTAAGGAATATCTGTCTACAGTAATTGAGGACATGGACTAAAAGCAGAAGAGACTGGTCAGAAGAGAATTCCCAGCTGAGAGTTTTATAGTTCCCAGTGTAAGGGAAGGAGAGGAAACTAAAATTAATTGAGCACTTTAGCAATGGGCTAGGCACTTCACAATTTATCTTATTGACTACTCATGACAACTCCACGAAGTGGGTGTAAATGTTACGCCACAAGGAATCTCAGTTCAGATATATAAGCAAAGGGTGTTTTTATCTTAAGATTGATAGCGACTTTGCTTTGAGCCTCCAACCCACATAAATAGGGGACTGAGTGCAGGAAAGAAGTTGAAATTGCCAAGTAAAAGCATCTTAATTCCATCTGGTAATTTTTGTGTTCAGTAGACATTTATTTTTTAATTACATTTATCAAGGTGACATTGGTTAATAGGATCCTATAGGTTTCAAGTGTGTATTTCTGTGATACCAAGATCTATATATTGCACTGTGTGTCCACCAATCAAAGTCAAATCATTTTCTATCACCATATATTAGGGCCCTTCACTCCCCACCCTCTTCCTAAGAGTTTTTAGGAATTACAAAACTCTTAGCTGGGCATTCTCTTCTGACCAGTCTCTTCTGCCTTTAGTCCATTTCCTCAATGACTGTAGACAGATATTTTTCTTTCTTTTTTTTAAATATATTTTTTATTGATTTTTCACAGAGAGGAAGAGAGAGGAATAGAGAGTTAGAAACTTCGATGAGAGAGAATCATCGATCAGCTGCCTCCTGCACACCCCCTACTGGGGATGTGCCCGCAACCATGGTACATGCCCTTGACCGGAATCGAACCCGGGACCCTTCAGTCCGCAGGCCGATGCTCTATCCACTGAGCCAAACCGGTCCCGGCTAGACAGATATTTCTTAATTATGACTTTCATTTTATCGAGTGAAGCACCCTCTGGCAGTCACCACACTGCTATGTGTCCACAAGTTTCAGTTTCATATCTCACATATGAGTGAAATCAGATGGTTCTTCACTTTTTTTTTTTCCTGACTGACTTGTTTTGCTAGCGTAATATCCTCAAGGTCCATGCATCCATGTTGTCTCAAATGGCAGTCTTCCGTCTTGTCTTACGTTGAGTAGTATTCCATGGTGTACCATTAGCTGGCTCTCTCCAGCATCTGCCTGGTACAGGCCCACAGGAAGCCTAGGAGCCTTCCTCCATAGGAAAGCAGTCTTTACCCCAGACACGCATTTGTTCCTGGTCATCTTCGTTTTTCCTGTTCCTTCTCCATCCCAGGAGCAGCAAGTCAGCTGGAGGAGCCTCCTGGCTCTCTGAATCATCCAGATGCCGTTCAGCAATTTTCAGGTGAGCCCCTTTCACTCGCAACCCCTTCCAACCGCAAGGCTTTATTTGAGACTTCTTCAGGCAGGGTCGCCTTTAGCAAGCAGGCCGCATTCGAGCACGCTTTAGTTGGACGCGCTTCCGGAGAACTCATTTCAGGTAAGCACACTTCCGGTGAGCCCGGTCTAGGTGAGCACGCTGCGGTGAGGGCCGCATGCTGCAGGTGCACGCGCTTCCGGTTGAACCACCTCCAGGTGTGCAGGCGCCAGCTGAACAGGCTTCCGGTGAACAACCTCCTCCGGCTGAACAGGCTTCCGGTGAACATCCTCCTCCGGCTGAACAGGCTTCCGGTGAACATCCTCCTCCGGCTGAACAGATTTCCGGTGAACCCGCAAAGGCTGAGCAGGCTGCGCTTGTACAAGCTGCCGGTGATCAAGGTGCAGCTGGGCAGGCCGCCACTGCACAGCCTTCGGGGGGACAGGCTTCGGGGGGACAGGCTTCGGGGGAACAGGCTTCGGGGGAACAGCCTTCAGGCAGTCCAGCGGCAACCAGTGAAGGTGAGCCACCTCTGATGGGCGCCAGGCCTTGCCTTCGGGTGGGAAGTAGGCAACACATAGAGGAACCCAAGAGTGTAAGGAGAAAGAAGAGTTCTTCCAAAGACTCTCTTTACAGGCGGAACCATTAGGAAGGTCCTCTTTTAAGAAAAATAACACATGCCGAAACCGGTTTGGCACAGTGGATAGAGCGTCGGCCTGCGGACTGAAGGGTCCCAGGTTTGATTCCGGTCAAGGGCATGTACATTGGTTGCAGGCACATCCCTGGTGGGGGCGGGGGGGGGGTTTGCTGGGGGCAGCTGGTCGATGATTCTCTCTCATCGATGTTTCTAGCTCTCTATCCCTCTCCCTTCCTCTCTGTGAAAAATCAATAAAATATATATATATATATATATATATATATATATATATATATATATATTTTTTTTTTTTTTTATTTATTTATTTTTAAAAAGAAAACACAAATGCAAGATGTCAGCAGTCCCTCCAACCTCCCTTTATATAAGAATTTATGAATGCTGCCCTAACCAGTTTGGCTCAGTGGATAGTGTATCGGCCTGAGAACTGAAAGGGCCCAGGTTCGATTCCCGTCAAGGGCATGTACCTTGTTTGCGGTATATCCCCAGGGAGGGGTGTTCAGGAGGCAGCTGATCAATGTTTCTCTCTCATCGATGTTTCTAGCTCTTATCCTTCCATCCTCTCTGTAAAAAAAATCAATAAAATACATATTTTTTAAAATGAATTTATGAATGCAGATGCTCACAGCTCCCATGGAAGGGACTTCTGGAAGACTAATCTTCAAGAGCTTCATGCTAAACCAGCCTCTTAACAAACTGTTATAGAGTCCTGTGCAAACCCTGTAAAGAGCTATCTAGCCCAACCAGCATGTCTCAGTGGTTGAACATCCACCTGTGAACCAAGGGGTTACGGTTTGATTCCCAGTTAGGGCACATGCCATGGTTGCAGGATTGGTCCCCAATTGGGGAGGGGAGTTGCAGGAGGCAGCCAATCAATGATTCTCTCATCATTGATGTTTCTGTCTTTCACTCTCACTCTCCCTTCCTCACTGAAAGAAATAAAAATATATATATTTTTTAAAAAGTTAGAGAAACATCTAGCTTCCAAGCTGGTGGCTTTGGTGTGTTTGTTTGTTTGTTTGTTTGTTTGTTTGAACATGAAAAATAAAGCATGAAGACATTCTGTTAGGTCCAGAAATAAGTTCACAGGACAATGGCAATTCTTTGGCTCTTACTAAAAATGGCTTGTTCGAAGAATTGAAAACTAGATCCAAGGTTTGAGGCCTTAAATTTATTATCAGACATAAATACTTCATATTTCACCGCATCACAAAAGTAGTAGTAGTACCCCAAATTTTCAGTTGAGAGAAATGAGACTAACATCGCATGGTTAAAAAATAGCAAACCTTGGATTCAAACTGAGGTCTGACTCCAAAGCCCTATTTTTTTTTTTTTTTTTTTTTTTTTTTTTTTTTTTCACTTCTTGTGCTTCCTTAACTGGGGAATTGGCAGGGGAGAGAGAGAGAGCAAAAGGCAGCACAGAAGCTATGCAAAGAGAATGCCCTTTGTGACAAACTGACCTTCTTATAAAAGTCGATTTGACAATGGAGAACGTACAGACTCTCGGGTTAGCAAAATTAGAGCATTCTAATATAGTTTATTAGGCAAATTTTACTCCAAGTGTTTGTGCCTGTGGGTAAGTGAGAGTATGGAGGAGAGTATTAAAGGGAGTCAGGCATGTAATAAGTTCTTCTTTGGTCCTATTGTTAGACATGGCAGAGCCTGCAGACTGAAAGGTCCCGGTTCGATTCTGGTCAAGGGGATGTACCTTGGTTGGGGGCACATCCCCAATGGGGGGTGTGCAAGAGGCAGCTGATCGAGATGTTTCTTTCGCATCGATGTTTCTAACTCTCTATTCCTCTCTCTTCCTCTCTGTAAAAAAATCAATAATATATATATATATATATATATATATATATATATATATATATATATAATTTTTTTTAAAAGAAAGAAAAGAAATATGATGTGTTCAGGCTACAAGTTGCCCATCCCCCAGAGGTGTGACTCAGGGCTGCACAAGAGAATTTCATCAGGCTTATCTTAAATTTTCAGGCCCAGGGGTAAAATGCCACACATGCTCTTATATGAGTAGTGAAGGGAAATGCCTTCGTGGAGAGGGATCCTGCACCATTCAGAGTTCCCAGCAGTGCATGTTAAAGAAGATCTTCGAAGGTATAATGGGGACTTCCTGAAGTGATCTTTGCCAGCAAACACGAGTATTCCTGGGGAATCATTGGGTGGCGGGAGGGGACAGGGAAGAGACAGGGAGGGGACAGGGGCGTGAGGAGGAAATAAGCTGTGCTTCCCAGAAACTTGGAAATTCAAGAAAACCTTATCCTTCCAAGTATTCTGAGTAGAATTCCAGTTACTGATGGAGAGATAGAGTCCCTTCCCAGCAGGTCTTAAAAGGAGGCAGGAAGAATGACTGTCTCTTTTTATTAAAGAAATAGGAGTTGTCCCTTGAGCCATTGACTGTAAGCTCAGGACTGTGTCTATCTTGTTCACGGCTATATATTCCTAGCACTTAGCACAATGTCCAGCACATGGTAGGTATTTAGTAAGTACTGAGTAAATGAGTAAACAATTATCTACCAGTCTGTGCCCATAGGTTGCCAGAACTCTCCCCAGTAAAGAGCCACACCTCTCTACCCTTCCACTCACTCCTCACCCTCAAAATAAGAGATCTTGGTTACGTCCATCCTGGAAACCACATTGCCTGACTTCCCTTGTTGTTTGTCTGGTCCCTCCATAGAGAGAGTGGGCGACAGATGGAGGGGAGGGCCTAGAAGAGGCAAATGGAAAGAGAGATCTCTACTCATGCCAGCATGAGGACACTGGGGACCACCGGATGGGATGAAGGCTTAGTTTGCCTCCTGCTCACTGCAGTCTTATTTCTACTTCTTCCAGGTGGAAATCTTGAGTTCATGGTTCAGGGATGTGAGAATATGTGCCCATCCATGAGCCTCTACTCCCACGGGACCAGGATGCAACTTATCTGCTGTCGGGATAAATCTTTCTGCAACATGACCTAGAAGCTGGTACTCTTCCTTGCTTCTGGCTCTGACTCAGGCAGCAAAAATCCTCCACCAACCTCCAGGGCTCAATTTATGTTTGGTTTCCCTTCCAGTCAATAGCTAGTCACGTGGGCCTCTGCCTGAGGGTCAGACTGGATGCTCAATATCCATGCCTCTCCTACCCACTGCTCTCTGCCCTGTTTTCTCTGTTCTGCAAATCCATCTCTCAACATTCTTTGGTTTTTCAATAAATCCCGCATGGTTAAAGAATACAGACTCCAGGGAGGTTTCTTTTCAGTCAGGTGCTGGGCCAGCCTAAGGGTCCTTCACTTCGCACACTGAAACAGATGCATTTTTAAACCAGATCCTCCAAGACAGAGACCACAAAGTAGATTACAAAGTAGGTACCAACGTGTTTTTTTTTTTTTAATATATTTTATTGATTTTGTACATAGAGGGAGAGAGATAGTTAGAAACATCGATGAGAGTCATCTATCAGCTGCCTCTTGCACACCCCCCCACTGGGGATGTGCCCGCAACCAAGGTACATGCCCTTGACCGGAATCGAACCCGGTACCCTTCAGTCCCCAAGCCAACGCTCTATCCATTGAGCCAAATCGGTTTCGACTAACGTTTTACAAGCTTAAACCGAGAGAGGGTCCTTCTCTGACTCACTGGAACTCCATCCTCATCTACTTATCATGGTGTCCAAAATTCACCCCTTTTTCTGTTTTTGTGCCAGCACGCACCAGGTTATTTTGATTACTATGGTCTTATAATATAGTTGGATATCAGGTAGTGTGATTTCTCCAACTTTGTTCTTTCTCAGGATTGCTGTGGCTTTTTGGGTCTTTTGTGATTCCATATAAATTCTTGGAATAGTTTTAGTTCTGTAAAAATACTCCATTGGTATCTTAATAGAAATTGCATTGAATATACAGATTGCTTTGGGTAGTATGGATATTTTAATGATGCTAAGTCTTTCTATCTATGAACATGGTAGATACATTCACTTATTTGTATTTTCTCCAATTTCCTTCTTCAGTGTCTTATAATTCCTTAGTATAGGTCTTCTACATCCTTGGTTATATTTATAGTCCTAGGTATTTTTTTTTTTAAGCAATTGTGAATAGGATTATTTGCTGAGTTTCCCTTTCTGATAGTTCGTTATTATATAAAAATGTAACTGACTTCTGCATATTTATCCTGCTTCTTTACTGAATTCATTTATCAGTTCTAGTTTTTTGTGTGGAAGATTTAGGATTCTCTAGAGTATCATGTTATCTGCAAATAAGTTTTACTTCTTTCTTTCCAATTTGAATGCCTTTAATTTCTTCTTCTTGTCTGATTGCTGTGGCTAGGACTTTGTTAAATCAATGGAAAAGCAGACATCCCTGTCTTATTCCTGAGCTTAAGGGAAATGCTCATAGTTTTGTCCATTGAGTATGATGCTGACTGTGGGTTTGTCATATATGGCTTTTATTACATTAAGATATATTCCCCAATTCCTATTTTGTTTTTTTATCATAAATGGGAGGTGAATTTTATCAAATGCCTTTTCTGCATCTATTGATATAATCATGTGGTTTTTAGCTTCCATTTTGTTTATGTGTTGTACCAAGTTTCTTGATTTGCAGACATTATACCAACCTTGAACCCCTGGAATAAAGCCCACTTGTTTATTATATTTTTATTGATTTTAAAGAGAGAAAGGGATAGGGAGAGGGAGAGATTGAAACATCAATGATGAGAGAATCATTGATTGGCTACCTCCTGCACACACGCTACTGCAGATTGAGCCCACAACTGGGACATGTGACCTTGACCAGAATCGAACCTGGGACCCTTCAGTCTGCAGGCCGATACTCTATCCATTGAGCCAAACCAGATAGGGTGGTGTATGATCTTTTTAATGTATTACTAGATATGGTTTGCTAATTCGTTGCTGAGGATTTTAGCATCTATGTTCATCAGGAATATTGGCCTGTCATTTTCTTTCTCTGTAGTGTCTTTGATTTTGGAATTAAGACTATGTTGGCCTCTTAAAATGAACTTGGGAATCTTCCCTCTCCTAGAATTTTTTGGAATAGTTTGTGAAGGTTAAGTGTTAGTTCATCTCTGAATGTTTGGTAAAAATTCACCAAAAGTCATCCTGCCCAGGACGTTTGTTTATCGAGAGTTGTTTTTATAACTGCTTCAATTTCACTAGCTATAATAATCTTTTCAATAACCAGAACTAAATGGATAGCCAAATATGGGGGGGAAAAATGAAACTTGACCTCTATTTCACATTATACACAAAAAACATTTTTCAGGTAGATTGTGAATCTGTGTAATCCAAAACTATAAATAATTTTTTTAAAATATGGAAGAAATTTTTAATATACTTATAGTAGGGAATTAATCCTTAAATAAAAAACAAAAAAGTTAGCCAAGGAAAAATCTTAATTGGACTATATTAAAAATAAAAATTTCCTTGCCTGGCCAGTGTGGCTCAGTGGTAGGTTGAGCATCAGCCTATAAACCAGGAGGTCATGATTCAATTACCAGCAGGGCACATACCTAGGTTGGGGGCTCAATCCCTAGTAAGGACAGTGGAGGAGGGGAGAGGGGGCAGGGGAGATAGGTGCAGGAGGCAACAGATCAGTGGTTCTGTCTCATCGTTGATGTTTCTATCTCTTTCTTCCTTTCCTCTCTGAAATTAAAAACAATAAAATAAAAAGTTATTTTGGGTATTGACTATTAGACTAGAGGAAATGGTAGGTAGGCTGTAGCTACAAAAGCCTAGAACTCAGAGGCAGTCAAAGCCAGAGATGATTTGTGGATGGATGGATGGATGGATAGCAATCTTCAAGAACAAAATTTCTTCATATTTAAAAATTTACTGGCTTAATTCCTAGGAGCCATCTATCGGTACAAATTTCTTCCTCCTATGGGTATACTGCAGTAGCACAATTTACTGGTACATGTACACTATATGATAAACTTGGACAATAACATTTTATCTGTCCTTGACTTCAGACTAAGATGAGTGATTTTATAAATTACCAAGAAGTAGGAATACAGGATCCCAACCTAATACATTCAAGTTAATATAAAGTTTATTAGAATAAAGTCTTAGTAGATTACATAGATAAAAGAGCCAGGAATCAGATCTATTTCTATTATAGTTTCCTTACTTCTGACTCCTCTTTTATTTCTTACCACCTAGAAGCTTAGTCACAGTAAGTTCACAGAGTTAGTTACTCATTTTCAAAATATAATTTATTTCTGTAATAAAGAATTAAAATACAGCTGTGAAAGTAGAGAATAATATAGAAAAACATTTAAAAGGTGCAACAGTAATTTTAAAGGTAGTTATGCACTAGAATTTACGCTCAACTTCTACTTGAAAGACCAACCAGCATTTTATATTTATATTTTATTAACTATAGTTAATAAATAGTTAATAAAATATAATGGAAAAAAACATACCAATTTATAATTCCAATTAATAATTATAATTCAATAATGGGTTTAGATACCTGGTCAGGACCTTCTGAAAAGGAGTACCAATCTTGGGGATATATTATTGGAAGATCACTTCACTTCACAGACTGATAAATCTACTGTTCAAAAGCCACAAGGATTTCTTTTTTTCCCCTAATTCATCCACTTACTTAAATCAATGTGGAAGCAATATGTACTTTTTAGATAAAACCAAATGTTTTGGTAAAAATGAGACAAGAGTATCATCTTTCATTATATTGGCATAAAAGCTGGTAAACTCATATATCCCCAAAGCGTGGTTTTCACCAGGTGGGCCTCAAATTTAGAAATTAAACACAGATGGAAAAGTATCTACTGAATTCTATCTATCCCTTCCCCAAAGTCTTATTTACAATTAAAATATAGGTATTATTTTTATGCAGAAAGTACAAAATAATTGGAAAATGTTTGACCAGGAGGAAGACAACTCTTCAGGGTCTATGGTTTGCAGTTTGCAGATTAGAATAGTCTTCTCTAGGAAGAATAATGTCAACATAGCAGCACTATATTCACCAGCAATCCCAAAGCCAGCGGATCGATCATGTGGCAGGAAGCCAAACCTTCTGGCTGCTCACAACATCACTCAGCTTGCCTTTAATCTTCAGGAAGTGTCTCTTGAATTCCAATCCATCACCCTATATTAGGAATAATATAAAAAAATAATGTAAAAAAAAAAAATCAAAATCTCTGTGGTGGGATGTAGAGAAAAACGCCTACAGATATGTCCAGCTACAATTCTCTTTAGGTCCTCTAATAAAGACCAATTATCTTAGGAGAAGAAATGGCTAAAATAAATAATTTTGACTTAAGAACCATCACTGTCCCCAACATTGGATCCAACACTGAACTAGGAAAGCAAATACAATGACAGCCTGTCTGCTTTAAGCATTGATATCTCTGGCCCTACGTCATTGTTTTCCATAGGTATTAGAAATTGGTCAACTAAAAATAAGCTACGCAACTATACTGAAGCCTCAAAATACTGTGACCACAAAGCCAGTGATTCCGTTATATAAAAAACATTATCACACTAGGATCTTAACCATGTAATTCCATACCAAGCATCTGGATAACAGTATTGCAGCAAATCTCCAATATAAAGAATATGACCTTTTCCTTCAACCTCCTTTAGAACTCATACAATCTCCCAGGAAATAGAGAAGATGCTATTTTTGTTTTATATATACCAAAGGTTTAAAACTATATAACCTCAGCTCTAGTAATTTCTAAAGAAATCATCATAAATGTAAGACTTTATGTATCTGGATATTTAAGCACAGAATTATTAACAGATAATGGTTCATTAATTATAAAGTGCAAACATTTTTGACAAATCACAATTTTTATATGAATTCAATATATTTATAAATGCCATGTGTATATAAATATAATATTTTTAAGTAATCTCCACATAAACTCTCCATAGTATATATTATTAGTAGCAATAAGACTACTATAATTAAATACATCAAAATAAATCTGGACCTAGCTGGTTTGGCTCAGTGGATAGAACGTCAGCCTGCAGACTGAAGGGTCTCGGGTTCATTTTCAATCAAGGGCATAGACTTTGCTTGCAGGCTTGATTCCCAGGGCCAATGGGGCACATATAAGAGGAGACCAATCAGAGTTTCTCTTTCTGTCTCTTTCCCCCAACCACCCCCTTTCACTCTCTCTATAAAAAAAAAAAAAAAAAAAAAAAAAAAAAAATCAATGGAAAATATCCTCAGGGGAGGATTAACAACAAAAATGTGTGTTCTCTCTGGATGATAAGATTAAACTTGATTCTGAGTTCCTCCTTTCAACTTCTTTGTATTTTTTTTTGTGTATTTTTAAAAATTTCTACAATGAATATGTAACAATACTCTTTAAGCAAAACAAAGTTTTTAAAAAAGATATGTGTTGTTCTGTATACCTTAGAAAGCCGGAAGTCAACCAAGATCTTCTCATCCATTTCTACCAAATTCACTTTGAAAATCAGTTTATTGTTTCTTCTATCAGTTGTTGATACAGTAACCTAAGGCAATAAAAATAAGGTTAAGCCAAGATGTGTGGGATGGAAGCCAAAAGGCAGTGGGATGACATATTTGAAGTGCTGAAAGAAAAAGCTGTTGAGCTAGAATTCCATATCCAGCGAAACTATGCATTAAAAAAAAAAAAAAAAAAAAAAGTCCCAGTTAAAATCTGCGTTTGGAAATATCAGAACTGCCCAAAAAGACATGCAATAGAAAGTCCTCTAGAACTGTTGTTTAAAACATCCAGTCTGTAGTATTCTGTTATGACAGCCCTTGCAAACACATATGTTCACACAAAAAATCTGTATAAGGATGATCACAGCAGCTATTATTCAGAATAGCCTAAAAGTACAAACATCCCAAATGTCCATCAACAGATAACTGTATACACAAAATGTAGTCTACCCACACAATGAAAAATGAATGAAACATACCTGATTCATACAACTCTTCTTCCATTGATAGCCCAATTTCTCACAAGTCTCTTTTAGGCACTGGTAAGATTTGTCTGCATCCAATTTGGTAAAAAATCGTGTCATTCTTTTGACCAAGCGCTGCCAGGGGTTCTACATGCCAAATAAAGAAACACAATAAATTTGTTATCACCAAAAGGAGGCATGTAGCTATTGAGTCTTAAAATTCTTTTTGCTGTGATTCATGATTCTTATACATAAAGGTCTCTTCTAATTATCTCTTCCTTGTCAGAAAAAAAAAAAATCGATATAAAGTGTTAGTACTTGAAGATTTATACATTTAAAAAGAGACATTACGACAATAAAAAATGCGTGGTTCCATTATTCACTTTACAAACTCAGTTCTCCTACCTGTGAGGATCCCGGGGTGCCAAGTAACTGACTATTCAGAAGCATGTGATCCGGACACGTGGGCTGGGAGAAACTGATCCCCTGTACCAGCTTATCAATGTACAGCGGGCTGGTGTCCCATAAGGAAAGGCCTGTCCGTGGTTCTGGCTGGGAACTGGAGTATTTCACATTTTCTTCACTAAGACATTAAGATAGGGGAAATATATATCATTAAATAAAATTTCCCAGACTTTTCAATATCACATTACAATTCTCACACCAATAAAAGTGATAATCACTATTAACATAAAATGTACATATATATATATATTATTCTACATGGGGGAAATTACCTTCAACGGGCACTTGATCTTGATTAATTAATCTTACCTAGAAGCACTGTTGACTAGAGAGATATCCAAATTGGACTGAATGTGTTTAGAGAATCCACCAGGAGACTCCGATACACCACCTGAAGTGACTCGGGGCCTCTTTGCCCCTAAAAAAATAAAATAAAATACAAAAGCTTTCAAGTCTTCTACACAGATACTTTTAAATTAATATAACTGGCAATCAGAAGAAGTAAAACTACATCTGAATTCATTTAACATCAAAATACTTATACAACAAATAGTGGCTCCTTCCACATGATTTTACGAGAAATGTGTTCATTACGAACTTACTAGGATTCACTTGTCAAATTATACAAATAACTGATCACTAAGTGTGTTCCATGTGTGGAGTACAAGGCCATGATTTTATTGGTACCATTTACGGCATTAGAAAAATGTTCTATGAAGACAGAGCAACCTAACTAAAGAGTAAAAACTTTAAAAAATAAAAACAATTTATGATCATGGCAATAAACATTAATGAATCTGCTCTACCCAACATTCCTTGCTCCACTGGAGAAGCTGTAACAAGAACACTCATTACACAGAAAATGATGCCACTATACATTCATGGTTACTATCCTCAGCTGGATCCTCAACTGACAGTCAGTCCCGTGTTTCTCTAGACAGCTTTCTCTCCCCTTCACAATGATTGTTTCAAAATGCCTGCATTCTTGTCAAATTCCTAATTTCACAGAATAAAAATACTTGTATTTGAAGGATGCTTACCTTTCTTGAGTAGTTTGTTGTACCACCTATCTTTTTTGATGTCTGGGATGGTGATCCTTACTGATGGATTCTCAACGAGGATTTTATGCAGCAGGGCTGAAAACAAAACAAGAAGACAGCATTTACAAAAGAGTCATGCAGATGAAAAAACCCTATATCTTGTGATAGGGAACACATCTCTCTCTTGGTCTCCTGATGTCCAAATATCATCTCTGGGGAAGAGAAAGAATAAAGTATTAAAGCTACTAAAGTATTGCTTTAACTTCATGCCGTTGTTCCTTGCTTAGGTCTGTATCTTGGAGTGGTCAGCCCAGGTCTGATTTTCAATTATTTGCAGACAGGAGAGTAACAGCCCGGTGGAAATGTTTCTCCCCAGCTGACAACATTAAGAAAAGAATACATCGTACCTATTTTCCATACCAAACTTGTTCCAATGTCATGGTAAGTACTCATTCACACAGTTTTACTTTAAAATTTTATTTTTCAGCATCCTAATTACCTTGATAAATAATTCATATATCTCCCACCACAAAAGTAAATTTCTAAAGGATATACAGTGAAAAATTAGAGAAAAAAAAATCTAGATTTCTAAAAAAGTGAACCGGATGAGTATAAGGAATATCCATATAGTAGAACAATTTCAGAGTCTTCAAAAACAATGACGTAGGCCTATAATTACAATCATAGGGAAAGTTCACAAAGCATTAATTCACACACATAAAAAAAAAGGATTACAAAATATTGTGTGTGCATAGTATAATCTCATTTTTTGTAAAAACACATATCAATATATATTGGTCATATATTTTACAACAAAGTATAGAAGCATGTATCAAAATATTAACATAAGCTGTTTTTCAGGAATTATAAGACTGGTTTTTAAAATTTATTCTCTGGCCAGTGTGGCTCAATGGTTGAGTGTTAACCTATGAACCAGGTGATCGGGGCACATGCCCAGGTTGCAGCTCAATCCCCAGTGTGGGGCTTGCAGGAGGCAGTCAATCAATGATTCTCCCTCATCAGTGATGTTTTTCTCTCTCTCTTCCTGTCTGAAATCAATTAAAAAATTTTTTTAAATTATTTTTATATTTATCTACAAGGATTACAGATTTATATCATTTAAAAGTCAAAAGGAAAATGTAAAAAAAAAATAATCAAACAGCACTACACTTCATTATCCAAGAAATGAGTACTTTCAATCAGTTACCTAGAGGAGCAGAATCGATTTTTTTCCAAGGGTTGAGGTATGTTTTTTTTTCTTTCCAATCAGAATATTCCTGACAACTGTCACTGGGCTGGTCCCATGGCAATTCTAAAAAAGAAACAAGTTTTCTGAGTGTTCATATCATTATGCAGATCCCAGGGAAAATAATTAACAATATAAATCCATTTCCTCCAAGTTAACTCATATGGTTTTCAAATTAAGAATACCAGCTCATGCCAAAACCGGTTTGGCTCAGTAGATAGAGCGTCGGCCTGCAGATTGAAGGGTCCCAGGTTCGATTCTGGTCAAGGGCATGATTCTTGATTTCAAGTGGGGGTTGTGTAGGAGGCAGCTGATCAATGTTTCTCTCATCGATGTTTCTGACTTTCTATCCTCTCCCTTCCTCTCTAAAAAATCAACAAAATACATTTAAAAAAAAAAAAAAAAGAATACTAGCTCACAAAAATTTCAGAAGCACTCCAAGATAGATGAGCCGAACCACTTCCTGCCCTACACTTTCCAAAAGTATTTGCATGGATCTTAAAAGCAAGAGCTATGGTTGTATGTCATTTAATACCTCATTTTTCAAAACCTTTGGGATTAAAAGTTCTAACTTAGTTGTAAATAATTTACTATTAAAATACTGTCATGTGAATATGGATACCCTTGGATTATTTCATTAACTTTGGAATAACAAATCTGTCTTTCCACAGGAGACGAGTTTTATCATGATTCGATAGCCCTTACCCCCAGCCAACATTGCAGTCAGCACTATTCCGCAGGACCAAACATCCACTGGTTCTGCGTGGAATTCTTTCCTCTTCAGAAGTTCTGGCGCCACGTAAGGCAAAGTCCCACACATCTTGTTCAGTAAACGTTCACGGTTATTGTGCCGAAACACTGTCGCCAAGCCAAAGTCAGAGATTTTGAGGTTATCTAAACCAAAGGAAAAAGAGATGATGGGATACACATGTTTTCTAAGTAGATACACTTAAAGGGTCGTTGGAAAAATCATTGGTGTCACCCAAGGTTTGTAGAACTTCTCTGCCTTAAAACGCGCCAACAAAGAAATGTTTAAAAAGAAGAAATAAAAGACATCATTATTTAGCTAAAATCAGTGAAAGAACTCATTGCTTCTGCTAATTCAAGAGGAAAAAAATTTTTTTTAAATAAGAGAAATTTCAAAAATTTTTTTTAAATAAGAGAAATATCAATGTTAAAATCAAACAGGTTAAAGAAAGTTACTGAAGTCAAAAGGGCCTGCCCTTCTGAAAAAGGCTATTTCAGACTTAAGCTTAAAGCAGAGCCTAGCCCTTTATTGGGTTGTGCAGCAGGCAGGAGACATCAATAATGTATTAGGGCCGAAACCGGTTTGGCTCAGTGGATAGAGCGTCGGCCTACAGACTGAAAGGTCCTGGGTTCGATTCTGGTCAAGGGCATGTACCGTGGTTGTGGGTACATCCCCAGTAGGGGGTGTGCAAGAGGCAGCTGATCAATGATTCTCTCTCATCGATGTTTCTAACTCTCTATCCCTCTCTCTTCCTCTCTGTAGAAAATCAATAAAAAATAAAAAAACAGGCAAAATTAAAAAGTAATAGTAATAATAATAATGTATTAGGCACAACGTTCCCAGCAGCAAGCAAAACCTGTTGGTTAGAAAATTTACATGTAAAGACACACCAAAACTAAAGATCCACAAACCACCAGAACTTCTTGTCAAAGTGGCTTTGTTTAGAAAAGGAGGAGGAACTCTTAAAAAAAAAACAGAAAAGTAAACTTCTACTCTAACTTCCCATCTTCCACACACATAAACTGTAGGTAAACACTTGGTAAATGTCTACTGTAACAAAATGACACTGTGCTAGCCAATGTGGTTAGATAAATTACTGGAGAAGACTAACAACAGACCACTGTTGCAAAGGTTATAAAAATATAGGACATTACGAACTCTTATAGCAAAGGAGTCAAACCTAGTTTTAGGAATTAGAGATTCCCTATTTTCAACCTTTATAGAGGACAATCTGGCAATAGATGTTAAAATCTAAAATATTCACACACTTTTTATGAACTAGTAATTTCTACTTCTAGGACTATATCCACAGAACTATTTCCTCAAACACACAAACATAAGGATATTCATTTTATTATTTGTAAGTAACTTAAATGTCCATCAATACAGAAATGACTAAATCTTATAATACATGTACATAATGAAACTATGTAAGTAATTGTTTTTAAATAAAGGCATAGCTATATGTACTGACACAGAATTGAGTAGAAGTTAAAAAAAAAAAAGGCAAGTGTCATAAAAAATATTCATTATATGACCCAATTTTTATATTGGGTTTGTGCACAAATTTATAGTAGTCATCACTGTTTTATTTGTTTTAAAAGCTATAAAAACAACTGTCCCAAAATAGGGGACTAATTCTTTAAAAATCAATTACATCTACAATATAGTATGGAAGCCATTGATTATGTTCACCTGTATTTGAGTTGGAAGGTAGCTAGTATAATTACCTGTGAATAGCTATATATGACAATCTAAAACCACTGACATTGAGTACCAAGTTACTACCGTAATAAGTAGTAATCACTGAAAATACTAATGGGTGACCTCTGTATATCCTTGGATTTAGTTTTGTTATTCAGTAATGCAAAAGCCTTGAAACAGCCTTGCTTGGCTGTATTAAAATAATTTAAGTAGCAGTCACACAATGCTAAACTTACCCCTTTCATCCAATAGGAGATTTTCTGGCTTAATATCCCTGTGAGTGATTCCAATGCCATGCAGATAAGTCTAAGAAAGCAGAGGGAAGAATATTAGGGTTTAGTGACTTACTTCACTCACATTAATTTTAAGTAAAAGTTTGTCAACGGTACCTACCACCCCTGCCATGAGTTGATGGAAGAACCTCTGAGCATCTTGCTCAGGCATGCCTATGTCTGGCTCTGTAAGAATTCATGATGAGAGTTAGTTTACCAGGTAAATGTAATCAGGAATCAACCACATAGCCTCTTAATTCTAAGGTTAAACATGTGTGATTGTACTTGAGCAAACAGAATCTTATGCTACCAATCAAAAAGACTCTGGAGTCCTCTAACTTATATAATAGGAATGTAAATCATATCTTGCAAGTCCCTGCTTATCTTATATTAACCATTATTTATTTGATCTTTCAAATTCTCCCCTAATTTCATCAAAATGCCAAGCCAAGATTTTTCCACTCCTGAAGTGTAATTGCCAAAGTGGAAGCTTGGCAAAATTAAGCTAATATCACTCTGAATAGTTAACAAGAGATTTAAACTTCCTATAACCTCACTCAACAGTCATGAATGCCTGTGACGTTTCTTTAGGAACACAGATTTATTAAGATGTATCCTATTGTCAGTCATCTTTTTATATCTTGGCCTCCCTTATTAACTCATGATTTCTTTTACACTCAACTCTCTCCTGAGATAAATACTTGTGATTCTAATAATCAATTTTAACTTAACGCAATAGCTTTAAATATTAAACTCAGAATATATTTTATGTACTTCTCAATGTTCTATAAAAGCAATCCTAGAAAATTCTAAATTATCACACTTGAACACATAAAGAAGAAACATAGTAACATGCTATTATGTTGCATCTCTAAATATATACAATGAGACTACAGTTTATCATTCTTAATAAGTGTGCAACAATACCAACCAAATTACTTATACAACTTGGGAAAAAAGTTTTGATGACTTTATGCTTTTGTGTGTTAATATAAGTTGCAAAAACAAAACAACTTATTCCAATTTCTCTGTTGCATAAGCAATTCTTAATGGACAATGACCAAATAGCAGACCTAAGTTCAAGAAAGAAATTTAGAAACTTATCTAGGAGAATAATTATCTTAAATCTTTTCCATACCGATTCTATCAAAAAGTTCTCCTCCACTACAATACTCCAGAAATAGATATTGGATATTGCCTTCTCTCCTGTGACCATAGAATTTCACTACATTCTCATGATTTAACATTTTATTGATGCAGATCTCTTTCTTAATGTTGTCTGGACAGTCTATGGCACGCTTCATGTCGACTATCTTCACCGCGACTGCTTCTTCAGTTCTTCTATTCACAGCAAGTTGAACTCTAAAAAAAAGAAATTTTATAACATTCCAGACACCTGATTTTATTGATTTTAAAACTTTGAATAAGATTAAACACGACCCTTCCAAAATTGTTGCACTTTTATAAATGTATCCACCAAGGAGAAACCATGGGAATGGTCTCTGCCATGTTCTCAAAAGATACTCCTCCATTCTGAAATGGGAGATACAACAGATAATGCACCGAAGAAGTCATTATGCTATTTAACTAAATGTCATTCAATAAATGCTTGAGAAAATAAACTAAACTGGGATTACCATTCTAGGCCACATTCCATACACACATGCTCTATTCATTTAATTCTAATAACATTTATCAATCCCGCGGTAACTCTTCTAAGCACTGATGGGGTTAGTACCATTATTGTCATCTTACAGGTAAGAAAACAGAGGCACGCAACAGTATTAAGAAGCTCACTGCCCTAGCCAGTTGCCTCAGTTGCATCACTTCATACACCAAAAGGGTGCAAATAGGTTTCCCTCTCACATCGATATTTCTCTCTTTCTCTCACTCCCTTCCTCTTTTTCTAAAACCAATACATTCGGATGCTGCGATGAGGATTAAAAAGCAGCAGCTCGCCTAAGAACAAAACAATGATCGGTATGTGACAGGCTGATGATTTGACACCAGGCGACCTGACTCCACAGTCTGTTCATTTGTTCGTTTGAAACACGATGCCTAAACCTCAAGAAGGAAGAGGTGTCGGGAGAAAAGGAATTCGGCGCTTTACAAAGTAAATGTCAAAGAAAATAACGTCCTTACAAACGATTGCGCAACTTCCGTTCCCCGAAAGTCTTGCATTTCAAATGCAGACGTCAGTTTTCTAAGGCCCCACTGTGTTAAAGCAACTCCAAAACCTGTGGACGCAAACGAGACCAAGGGGGACGGGGCCGATGCGGAAGCAGGGTACGAGGGCTCGGACTCACTCTCCATAGGCACCTTCTCCCAGGGTCTGCACCAAGTCCCAGTCCTCCACGAAGGGCACGGCCATGGCTCCGCTGCGCACCGCGGCTGCAAGGGGCGGGACCCAGAAAAGGGGGTGGGGGGTGAGGACGGGCGTCCGTCCTCTGTGAGGCCGCTGAGCTCTGCGTCCGGCCAGGAGCCCTCCGTGTAAACAACAGCTCTTCTTTCCCCTGGAACCCCATCACCCATATTTTACCGCCGTCTAAACCCCAAATCTCTAAGGGTTTAGGCTAGACTCCCAAATCCTGGCGTTTGATTCTGTAAATCCCCATTCCCACGCTCAGGGTCGGCCCCTCGCATCCGCGAAGGAACCGCAGCAGTTGTGATGGAGTTGGGGGACAATGCCCCACGGCGGATGGAGAGAAGGGGTCAAAGGAATCTAGGGTAATGGGGAAAGAGAACCACGACCGCCGCGGCCCCTCCTCCCCACCCCCAGGCGTCCCCCAGGCCGGGTGGAGCCCGGGGCGGGGCCAAACTGCCCGGAGGGGCGGAAGGCAGGGCCCGGAGGCACGCAGACTAGCAGAGGGGAAGTTTCTGCAGCCCCTACAGCTCCCGCACCCCGGGCCACCCCCCTCCGCCCTCTGGGGCCGCCCCTCCGCAGGAGCCTCTCCGAACCCCCCGCCCGTCGCCGTGCTCTCCTGGCTCATGCGGACCCCGAACTCCTCTGCAGACTCCCCGCCGCCCTTCTCACCAGGCCGTCCTCTGCCCGCCGCCGCAGGAATCCAAATGCTGCGCTTTTCCCGCCAAAACTGGATGGCGTCACGCTGTCGCAAACGCGCGCGCCTTTGCCGTAAAGCGAGGAGGCGCGCTTTCCGGTTCGCGAAGTTAGGAAGCTCGGCGGCTCCCCCGGAGGCTGGCGCTGCAGCCCCACAGGTTCGGCTGCGCCCCGGTTTTAGTGGGGTGTGTTGTGGGGCCGGGAGAAGGTGCCGGCTGCCGAACGCGCCTCTGCGAAAGCTCTCTGCGCCCCAACGCGTCGGAGACCCGGAGACCCGGGAGGCCAGCGTGCGCGGGGCCGTGTGTGTCCACCCGTGGGCGCCGCGACGCCGGTTCTGCGCCTCCGAGCATCTATCTGCCCGGCGACCTGGCCGGGGACCGGACCGGACCGTGAGGGCCTCGAACTGTCTGTCACGTTGGAGCGAGGCGCAGACCGGCTGTGGAGGACGCGGCTGGGAAGGACGAAGGGAACGGCGGGCGCCTCTGAGCCCGGCCCCTCCCTCGGTAGCCGGCGGAGAAGGCTCCGATGGAACCGCTAGCAGGTGGAGGGAGTGTGAGGAGGGCCAGCTCGGCCCTGCGCGGCCTGAATCGGCTCCAAAACTGCACCTCGGCCCCCCAGCGTGTGAAAGAAGAGCGTCCGTGTAGCTCAGTCCTACCCGTCTTCTCAGTCTGAGTGTGGGAGACGCAGGCAGGTAGGTAGAGCAAAAACGCTGTTTGGCCTCATTTTACAAAGCATATTTTAAGTAATCCGTTTAAGTAGAGAAGTAAATTCTGGGGAAATGGGCCTGCGTTACGGTGAAATAATACGGAACACTGAAAGAGGTATTCCCCCCTTGGCAATAAATGGCGGAACTCAAGGCACAGGCAACATCATCTCCATCAAAATCTCCAGTTCTTACAACGGGGCCACGTACATTGATAATAGCTCGATTGTGTTACTGGTAATGGAGTAAAATAAGTATAAAATATGTTACACAAAAATGCAGTTAACCAATGGCACCCCAATACATTTTTAAACCCTTACCTTAAAAAATAGGTTCTTATTGATTTCAGAGAGAGATAGGAACATGGGATTTGACTGGGAATTCAACTGGCTGACTTCCCAGTGCATAAGTAGACCCCTCAGCCACTGAGCCACACCAGTTGGGCCAATAAATTTAATTCTTAAAAATGCACATATCTGCTTTAAAATAAGACCAGAGCATTTCAAAATGCCTGTTTGAGAAGTTTTTAACCAGGGCTAGGCTTCATGTAATAAAGCTTTCACATCTTTTACTACATTTTCTCTAATTTGTGTACTGTGTGCTGCAAACAAAAAAGATGAAGAAAGGAAGAGGAGTACCTGCTCAGTTTGTGTGTGTGTGTGAATGGAATTAAAGTATCTTAGCCTGAAAAAAAAAAAAAGGTATACCCGTTTCAGGTAGAACAGTTAAAGACAGCCCCTTGGGAGAATGACTGCACACAATAGCCTCTGAAACCTTACTGAAATAGTAAATATTTAAAAGGCACAAGAAAAGAGTATGAAAAAGGAGATTTTGGCAAGTGGAAAGTCTAGGTAAAACAGAGATGAATCCTAGAGCCAACAATGGGAAAGCAGAAAAGCAACTTTACGTCCCAGAACTTCCAAAAGGCTCAAGTTAAGTGACACCAGGTAACTGAAATGTAGGTGAAGGTGGGCCTATACAGAGGGTAGGGTGAAAAACTAGGTACAAAGCAAATAGACCCTTGGGTCCTCTCACTTTGTCCAAAAGCACTCCCCCTCCCCAAAGCTGATACAAGATTTGAGAGAGTAACTACATGGTATCTGAACTGGAGAGCACCAGGCAATTAGAGGCTTGGGTATCTTACTGAAAACAACGGGATTAAGTGTCAGTTTATGCAAAGAAGTTTGACCTTGGCCCACCAGCAGCATGTTTGACATGCTTGCTCTAGAACAGTGGTTCTCAACCTTCCTAATGCTACAATTCTTTAATACAGTTCCTCATGTTGTGGTGACCCCCAACCATTAAATTATTTTCATTGCTACTTCGTAACTGTAATTTTGTTACTGTTAATGAATCCTAATGTAAATATCTGTGTTTTCCAATGGTATTAGGTTCTACATTTGAAAGCTGCTAGGAGGGTTGCCTAAGACCATCGGAAAACATAGATATTTACACTATGATTCCAAACAGTAGCAAAATTAGTTATAAAGTAGCAACAAAAATAATTTTATGGTTGGGGATCTTCACAACATGAGGAACTATATTAAAGGGTCGTGGCATTAGGAAGGTTGAGAACCACTGCTCTAGAGCCTTCTTTCCCATTTAGAAATATGATAGCCTGCCTTGTATCCTTAGAGGATTTATAAGCCTTCTCAAGGGAATGTTATCTATATAAAAAGATCTAAAGATGCCAATATCAGGGATTTCCAGCCAGATCATGGGAGTGGAGCCCATATTCAATGAGCCAGACTCCTTTCCCCAAACAGACCTTCCAATCTGTTTTAGGGTTCCACTCTTTTTTTTTTTTTTTTTTTAATTTTATTTCAGAGAGGAAGGGAGAGGGAGAGAAACATCGATGAGGAGAATCACTGATTGGCTGCCTCCGCACACCCCAAACTGGGGATTGAGCCCACAACCCAGGCATGTGCCCTTGACTGGGAATCAAACAGTGACCTCCTGGTTCATAGGTTGATGTTCAACCACTAAGCCACACTGCTGGGCTGGGTCCCACTCTTAAAAAGAGCAGACAACTAAGAATTTGAAAAGGCCTTTAATATGAAAGGTGTCAAAACAAAGGAATATTCAAACAAAACAGAAAAACACTTCTCGGACATTAAAAAGTATGATAGCAGAAAAAAGGGAAACTACATAGACAAATTGCAAAAAAAAATATTTTTTAAAGAAATCTTCCAGGGCAAAGCATATAGATGGAAAACAGAATAAGAATATTGGGTGATTAATCCAGGAAGTCCAGCATCCAAATAGCTTTTTTTTTTTTTTTCAGAAAGAGAAAGAATTAGGGGAAATCCACAAATAATTCAAGGAAATTTCTCAGAACTGAAGAACTTGACTTTCCAAACTTAAAAGTTTAAAGTACCCAGCACAATGGATGATCCACTATAAGACACATCATCGGCAAAATGTCAAAACATTACATACAGAAAAGATCCTAAGAGGTCTGGGGGTGGAAGTGAGAGGGAATAGACTCATGCAAAAAAGTTACAATCAGAACAGCATTGCATTTCTCAACATTTAGAAGAGAAAACACAGTGGGCCAATGCCTTCAAAGTAATTCTAAGGAAAATCTTCACAACCTGGAACTCGATACCTAGCCAACCTGTTCATTGTGACACAAGACATGCAAGATCTCAAGAAATTTATCTCCCACATACTTTCTCCCACACACTTTCACAAGAAAGAATTCAGGAGATTGACATACATAACGTGACAGTGAAAGGATACACCAACTCAAGAGGTGCGTAAACAAACCTAAAGAATAAACCAAACTGGTATATACCAAAATAGGACATCTCTAAGACATACCCAATGAGTCTGAGCATATTAAAAGGAACTTGGCACAAATGAATGAGAGCTTGGGGAGAAATTAGTGACAAACACGAAAAACAAATGAAAAAAACTCCCTCCAAAAAAAATGACACAGGGATAAAACAAAGTAGTAACAGCATACTGCATGGCCTAGTTGTGAAAAGCCATAAGGTAAAAACTACTGAACTAAGCTAAACCGTAACTATAACAGAATCTTAAAGTGGTCCATGGGAATAGCAAGATGGTGAAAAAGAGCTAAATCTTCATTTTCTACACCAGAAAATCAACAGATGATACCTAAGATAGAAAAACAAACACAGAGTAAAATAAAGCAAGTTATCTAATGAGATGGAGGTAAATAATGTGAGAATCAGCAGAGTTGAAAGTGGTTGCCTCTGAGGAGTGGAAAACTTGTTGCTTTTTAGAATTCAGTTTTTTACACTAAGTGTAAAAAAGTGTGACAATGAAAAAGTTAATTTTTCAAAGACAGCTTCATGCAGCCGAGGAAGCAACAACATTAAAGTCACCAAAGCAACAACTCCAGTGATAAGTTCAAGGGTTATCCCATATTATTATAGAGAAAGACCATTAGTGATCTCGAAATGGTATTATTCATATTGGTAAAAAGAAATTTAAAAAAATAAAACAAGACCCAGAATAACCTCTTTCAGTAGGGAGGAATTCTGTATATAAGTCAAGTAATATATGTACATACAGTAAATCAAGTATTACATCAAACTAAGTCTCACACAGTTGAAGCACTTGGTATATAAATGGTTTGGAAGGGTAAGTTTCCTGGGTATGTTAAGTATACCTGAGCATACCCTCTAGGAGCACCATGTTGACTTATCTAAAAGCCATGTACTTGCTCCTGTTTCTGCAACAGGTAACACTAAACAGTTACCCTGTATATATTTTTAATGACTTATGGTTTATATACTTCACTGTATATGTCCTGTATTATAAGATACATACAGTGTCCTACTGTATTGAACATATGACTATCCTGAGATTAAATAATATCCATAGGACTTCTGTGCTTTGAGTTAAAATTTTTAAAGTTCTCTTCCCCTTTATTATAGTCAGGCTAGGCCCGTCATTAGGTACTAGTGATAGCAATTCCTCCTTCTAACTTGTAACTCATTTGGCAAGGACTTCAAAACCAGATTGTTAGTTAGTGGTACGGTACATAATAACAAATAGAGACTAAGGGATAAAGAAACTCGCCTTTAAATAACCACAAGAGTTTTAGTGCCTAAACTAAAGGAAATGAGCAAACACACATATACTATATCATGGATAAGTGAGTACTAAAGACCTGGATTTCAAATAGATATGCGTGATTATATTTCAGCTGATTCAAAACTACCTATTGAACATCAAATAAAGTTGTATATATAATATAATGAGAATCATAATAATAATAAACTATTTGCCTTGAGTCTTCAAAACTGCTGATTTATTCTCACTTGATTTATTCCTGCTAAAAAAAGAAAGAAAAGGGGAAAAAAACAAAAAAACAAAACACCACAAACCACCTAGCTAGTCCCAAAGAAGATCAGGTCCGGCTAGCCACCTTCTCTCCCTCATAAAGTCGGAGCTTCCAAGGATGAGATATGTTGAGAACAGAGATGATGGCAACACAGCTTCCTTTCCTACCCAGAAATGGCACTCCTCTAGCCCCACACTTACTCATTTAATAGAAGTTTATTGAGCACCTACTATGCACAGCATTGTGCTCAGTGCTTTAATTTTTGAAATGACAAAATTGTATATGTAGTATCTGACCCAGCCCTTGAAGTTTTCCTGACTTGATAAAGACAGTATGCCCCTACATAGCTGATTTAGAAAGCTAAAAACAGGGATGAGGTCTGCTTTCTCTCCTTTTATCAGCCCAGCATAAACTTCTGCTTTCCTCAAATCAATCAAAAATAAAAACAAATAAGGCACATAAAAAAAAAAAAAAATCCCTCCCTTTAATTGACCAAAGTAAAGCCATGACATTTCATTTGGTAACCTCTCAGAATTATAAAAAAAATCATTGCATTTGGCCCAGCCCATATTGCCCAGGGCAAAACTTCCAGACAATTCTAATCCCATGGTGCTCTGTTCTTATAGACTGCATATTTTAAAAACATCTTCGGCATCCTAAATGGGACGCGCTCAGTGCGAAGCGTATCAGAGCTGGATGTATTGTTTATGTCCTTGACAAGCCTCGATTATCCAGGTCCTTTACCTACAACATAAAGATGTCAGTTTAATATTACAATTGGGTCAATTTAGGAGAGCTTCTCTACTGAGTTGGGTCACCCAGACGGGGAGGGATTACGTTGGATGCCCCTGCCCGGTTTGGCTTTGTGACTGGTTTGAGACTAGTTACCCTCTGCTTAGCCTTTGAAATACCTCTATGAGGAGCAGTATAAATTATCTACCTTCCAATATATCAAGGGTTCTCAATTCTTCTTCTGTTAGCTAGAAATTCTTCACAAATTCTACAGTAGCTCGAAAGCACAAACACACTTTTTCCATCCCACCCTCTCCCTCTAAAGCCTGACAATTATTAAAAGATCAAGTCCAGCCCCAAATGGAAACACATCACTGACAACACTGCCACAATGACAACAGACTAGGGTGTTTTCTCTCTAGGAACAATCTAAATAAAAACAAAATTCAAAATGAATTGCAAGCTACTTTTCAGACATTAGAAATGTCCCTATTTTGGAAATATGTAGTCCACTTTTAGCACTAGAACTGAAGTGCAAAGATGAGAGTATAACATCTGCTCACCTTGTATATCCTTACTAGCCAATGTTCCGTGGTATATGCTTCCTCCAGGACATCAAGCTCAAAGTCTTTATTCCCAATCTCAGCATTCCGCACACGGTCAAAACCTGGTGGACGCTCTAGAAAAGGACAAAAAAAATGGGATACACTTCTTTCTACAGTGCAGATTTCCTAAGGAATCTGAGTTTCACTCCTCTCTGCCACTTGTGACTTTGGGTGGTTAAGTATCCTATTTGTACCTTAATTTCCTCATATAATATTAATATTTACTTTTTGGGCTATTGTGAGATAAATGAATTAACAGATGTAAGGAACTTAGAGCTTCGCAGTGAAAAACATCATGTTAGCTATTATTGTTTTTACTATCGTTATTAATGCTGCTACAATAAGAATCACTCACTGGCTTCTGTGTAGACCTGTCCAAAGCGGTAGTAACACATCTTGTACATAAGGCAGTTGAGCAGCACTGGAGAACCCTCCCGGTCCACACGGAATTCCCCAGTTGGAGTATAATAATCATGCTCCTTGATATGTCTGCCTGTGTCTGTGCTCCCTCCAATCCGGACCATCCACAGAAACTTGTTGATGTCTAAGGAGAAAAAAGAAAAAGAAAGAACTGCTGTATTACAAAGATTGCTGGAGCTAAACTATCTAATGAAAAGCTCACTATTTCTAAGGAAATTCCCCAAATATTTTTCTAATGGGGAATGGCACCATTAAACTCATTTATAAAAACCGGAAAGACAATTTGTAGACAAAACATTTTCCCTCAAAATATACAGCTTGTCCTATAGATTAGTAGACTGCTAAAATCTTATACAATTGGTCCAGACTTAAGTCACAACTGAAATTAGTTCTAGATATTAGCTGGGGCTGAGCTGTCCAATACAGTAGCTACTAGCCACATGTAGCTACTGACATTTAAAATGAGGCTAGTCCAAATTAAGATGTGCTGTAAGTATTAAAAAGTCCAAAAACAAAAAAAGTGTATAAAATATCTTGACTGCATATTAAATAATATTCAGTTAAATAAAATTATTAAAATTCATTTCTGGGAGGGAGGGTGGAAGAAGATATAAGGGGGATAAATGGTGATGGAAGGAGACTTGGGGTGGTAAATTCACAATGCAATAAACAGCTGATTTATTATAGAATTGTAAATCTGACACACATAATTTTATTAACCAATGTCCTATTCAATATTTCCAAATAGACTGGCCTTATCAGATAATTGTATTAAACAAATGGTCTTTAACAATATCAAAAAAAAGCAGTTTTAATAAATGGGGGGAATAATGTCATCCCCAATAAATTCTACTAAAAAGCTAAATAAGAATAAATAAAATTCATTTCCGCTATTTTTATTTTGATCTGGCTAACAGACATTTTAAAATGACTGTTACGTGGTCCTGTCCAATGTAGCTCAGTGGTTGAGCATTGACCCCATGCACCAAGAGGTTGCTAGTTCCATTCCCCATCAATGCATAAGCCCAGGTTGCACTAGGCACATACATATATATATAACATTTTAAGCTGGAAGATTACTCTCTGGCTTAACCCTACTAAAAAACATTAAATATTAAGTTCATTTTAGAAGCTTTATGTTGTTTACTGGTTGTGGAACTACTCCTAGACCTTAGACAAGTATAGCATGCTGTACCTACATGAGAAATATTTACATTTACTTTCTACTTGTTGCCAAAAAAAATCTCAAGTTGCAAATACTTAGGAATTTCCCCAACTAAGAAAATGTGTTAGTAAGATAAAGAAGGACAGAAAAATAGGAGTAACATCTAGTTTTCTTAGAATCTATGCCCTACAGCCAGAAGTAGAATCTAGTACATTACCATCAGAGGAATACCCAGTAAGGCCTCCAAAAATGACCAGCACATAGCTAACATCAAGCTCCCTCATGATCTCATAGGCTTTTTCTTCTGTGGATGCCATTGCCTAGAAAAAGACATGCACATTTCTCAGAACAAAATTCCAGGTCATATGATCCCTCATGGAGAAATACTTCCCACTAGACCCTGTGGGCCAAACACTCAAATGATCCCTTTACCTCACCTGCCCTACTCGAGAAATATGGGTATTATTCCACGTATTATTGTCCACTAAAATCGTCCGATTCGCCATAGCTGTAATCTGGTAGCCATAATCCCACCATGACATGACCTTAGCGTCCTGAAAGAAGTAATGGGAAATGAAAATAACAAGCTTTTCCCACTGCCTCCAAAAATCACATACAAGAAATGGGAGTGGAAAGGCATCTGATAGGAAATGAGGCATGGCTAATTAATCAATTTCTTCACAAAGTAATGCATGCAACAAAAAACAAATCTTTGCATCTGGTCCTACATTTATATATAATCATGAAATCTCAGTGCAAATAATACAATCCAACATTCCCAATACTTTTATTGTAGATCACTTTTTTACAAACAAGTATAATGGAGTGGGAAATATAGGGGACTGTTCAATGTTTCCAAATAGACTGGCCCCACCAATTAAATAAATGGTCTTTAATATATATATTTTTTAAATCAGTTATAATAATGGGGGGAAACACAAATCACAGGATATAATGGGAAAGGATTAAAAAATTCTTAAAGTTGTGACTCTTCACGAATCTAACTCAGAAGTGCTATTTCTAATAGCTTCTGCAAAGGAAATCACTTCAGCCCTGACCAGTCTGGCTCAGTGGGTGGAGCACCAGCCTGCAGACTGAGTTCAATTCTGGTCAGGGGCACATGCCCCAAGTTGTGGACTCAATCCCCAGTGGGGAGTGTGCAGGAGGTAGCCAATCAATGGTTCTCTCATCGTTGATGTTAATGTTTTCATCTCTCTCTCTTCCTCTCTGAAATCACTAAGAATATTAAAAAAAAAAAAAGGGGGGGGAGGGGGAATCACTTCAGATTCTCAGAGGTATAAATCAAAACGTTAAAAGTGGTTATCATTAAGTGATTCCATTATGGAAAATTTGTCTTTTTTCTTCTATTTTCTGACTTTTTTACAATGAACATGTATTATTTATCTGTAACTTTTCTTCTTCTTATATAATTGGGATATCCATCTCATGATAAAATCACCATCAATACCAGTAAGGATCATTATAGAGGAAATCCTGAATTGAGTGGAGGTGGCCTTTAAAGCTCATTCAACACTAGAGTCTTATAGTTACAATTTCTCCAAGTTTTCCATCGTTCTAAAAGCTCTGATTCACCATAACATCCAATGTCTCCCCCTTTATCCTACCCACAACTCCCCTTTTCCCAAATCTTTACCTCTGGAGTATTGTGACGAAGCCAATAGTACGCTTCTCGAAAATCATCAAAAATTATTCTACTGCCATCCCCACCACGAGCAGACAGCACAATGGAGGGCGAGGAGTAGGCCTCACTGGTCACCCAGGTTGAATGAAAGGTGTAGGTAATGAGAAAGAAAGCCATGACCAGTATCATCCCACTTGCCACCTAAACAAGGAAAACAATGTGTTATAAAACCAAATTAAATTTACACAACACAGAACAGCATCTTATACACAGTCAATAATATAAATAAATCAAAATAAGTCTGGGACTATATAAGCTAATTCTGACCACTTATGACAGTCCTCTTACTCCCTTACTCAAAAACATACACAAACATACACACATGGACACATAGTTTCCCAAGCCTGTTCTTAGTGTTGCTTTATACTCACTTCATTCTTAATGGGGTAAGTAGAATCCTGTTGCTTCTTGCTCTTCTTGTCCGGACGACTTATGTCCAGATTCTTCATATAAGTGGACAGTACCTGGGAGACTCCAATGCCAGAAAGAATGCACATAACAGGTGCCAACACTAGCATTAGACGCACCTGAAAGAGACAGGTGCAAGATTACAGTCTAATCAGTGTTTTACAAATTATAGTTTTCACCCTATGAGTACATCATGACATTAATTTAGGGGTTTTTTAACAAACATGACTTTTCAATGAAATAGAACAAAACAGGAGAGAAAATAATTGATAAATCTACAGTAGTAGAAGTATATATTTCTTATCCTTCGTTTTTCAGTTATACATATATGTACATATGTATGAGTCCTGAGTAATATTAAATGTTTCTTAACGTGTGAGAAACAGTCTTGTTACAATATATAAAACCTCTCCTGTTTTAACAACTCAACAAGCCTCCATCATATCCCTTTTTAAGACTAGAAAGAGAAGGGAAGGAACCTGCCCAGGGTTACTTTCTCCAACAAGGGCAGAAGTGTCTCTCCCTAACACAAGATCGTGAATACAAGAAAGGTAGGCCCCACAATCAGAACGCATGAGTGCTCACACCTTCCTGTGAAGGATCAACCAGTGAGCAGTTTTACAAGGCAGCTCTCAATGTTCAGAGGGAAACATCTGCACAATCACCAGTACTTTCTGAATCCTGCTATGCAGGAAACAAAACAGCACCCAGAGTTAGGAGCAGGAAGCTGTGCTAGGACTGAGGGACTTCCTCACCATTACAGCTGAGAAGTACATGCTGGTCACACCATACATGATGATGAAAATCCGGGCATCAGACAGGTTGCTAAAGCAGTAATAGAGGCCAACTACAAGAGTAAAAGTAAAAAGCAGCTAAAAAAACAATCATACATACATGGGAAGATGTGCACTACAAGTCTTTAAAATAGCAAAAAATCAGAAACCGCATAAATGTCCAACATTAAGAAGGAAAATTAGAGCATATTTTACTTTATAAAATTAATATGCTACAATTAAAATACTGCTATAGAGATTATGGACCATTTGCCTTCTCCATTACACATCTCTGTAGTTTTAAAAAAGTTAACAAATGATGTATCTTAAATATTACTTCTCTAAAACAATACTAAAAAAATTATCATGATTCCTTATGAATTTAAAATAATCTGGAAAAATTAGCATTTAATTTTTATTCAATAAATAATTGGATGAATATACATAAAAATGCTAATAGTAGCAACAGATATGTGGTGAGAATTGCTGAAATTTTTAACTTTTTTCACTTATCTATTTTTTTTTTTTTTTTTTTACAACAGATAACTTAGTTTCCTAGTAAGAGAAAAATATATGTTATTTTATAAATTTTTAAAGGAAGCCCAGTACAATGGGTAAATTCTAAAAAACATATCTGGATTGGCCGGAAGATACATTAAATGAAGAGGTTTTACAATCAGCCAGGGCCATTCTGGATTTCAATGCTGCTGATTAAGGGAGAGGACCCAGGGATGGGCAGTGGGAGAGGGGTACACTAGAAGTATTCCCCCCCACACACCCTGAATACAAATTTTCATACCTAAATGAGCACAAAACTGAGTCCGAACTTTCCTGGGTCTGCAACTACTTACTTCTAACATTTACTCTGCTTCAGAAAAAAATACTTAGCCAACCTCTGTACTACACAGGGTAAGTAGGCAAAGGAAAAAACACACAAGGATGACGATATTTTACTTATTTTGAAACAAATAGCGATTCTTACAAAGAAGGCCACTTTAGAACACAGACCTGGAAACATGAAGACAAGAAGCTGCAGGTCAAAATAGTATGAAGACCAGGTGGTAGGCTGATGCTCAGACACAGAAGCAATGATGGGGATGTTGTTCTTCGCGTAAGAAGGGTCCAGCAGTGAGTAGAAACGCCCCGTCCAAGGAGATATTTTTCCTGGCAGCAGAGACAACAAATATTTCACAATCACTCCTGGAACAAAATAACATCTAATCCTAACTAATCACAACCTCTCATTTCAATAAGATTCTCAGACAGAGAAGGACTAGGTTTTTTGTTCAAATGCCATCAATACTTGGAGAATTTCACTGCTTCCTTATTTTCTAACTCTCATCAGTAAAGCAAGCAAAATAAAGTCAGGCTGTACATAAACTCAGACAGGAGGGAGAAGGGTTTAGGCCAAATCTGGTCAAACCAAGGCCAACTCTATAAGTCTACTGTGTTCTCTAGTGCTGCTCCAGATTAGACAATACACAGAAACTTGGCAAAATCAAATCAGCCTCTGAGAAGTGGAAGTGAGGAAAATGTGGCATGCCAACCAAACTAAACAGCTGTGGTGTAGCGCACTTGGGATCAGATGAGCCCGTGCTGTAGGGTTTGGCAAGCAATGTTAGGACTTCTCCCACCCTACCAACAGGAACCAATAAAAGAAAAAAGGAAAACAATTAGCAAGATAAGATATGGTCCTTTGATAAGTGTGATTCTTCTGAGATTAACAGCTGCTCTAACAAAACATTCTTTGTTTTGCTGAATCCAAACACTAGACTTGACAAGTGAAATAAATGTTGAGGAAGTAGGACTTTGTATGTTAATAATGAAAAGAGAAATAAGAGAAAAAGAAGGAATCTTTCTTAACCCATATTTTTGGAGTTTATGCTATGTCCAAATCCATTCGCACTTAATACTAAAAGACATGAACCTTTCCTACCTGTCAGCATGAGGAGAGTTCCCACGGTGAGAAGGACAAAACCGACCAGGGAGATGACACTTCGAAAAAGGACTTCAAATTGCTGGGGGTTCAACTTGCTGCGCAGATAATCCACAAAGGCATGGATCTGGCAGAGGCCAAAGACCCCAAAGGCTGCCATGTGCTCAGACGAGAGGACAGGCTGTTGATGCAAGTATATGTATGAGAATAATGTTAGCAAAAGAATGGGTCCAGTCTAGACCTGAATTACCCTGACCTAATTCAGACCAATGGGGCAAATGAGTTCTAAAGCCACCAAGGAACTAGGGACAATCTAGAGGAGGGTCTAAATCACCTGCTGTGTTTTCCAAAGAATACATACGCTATCACATTTCAGGCTTTTGCTCAGGCTATTCTTTTAGCCTGCATTGCAATTTTCTCATTATCCCAAAATTTGCATTCACTGAAATTCTCATCACTCAAGGCCCAATGCAAATATTGTTTTCCCCTGATCTGCCAAACTGAAATCCATCACTCTCCTCTATGTTCTCTGAACTTTAGACCTCTTCCATCACTGAACTTTACCTGTTCTCATACTCTAGTATCATGATCATGGGAGGTGGCGGGGGGAGGGAGAAGATTGCTGAGCTCACCCCAGTAGGTCTGTAGTGAGGCACCAGAATTTGCATTTCTAACAAGTTCCCAGATAATGCTGATGCTGCTGGTCCAGGAACTACATTTCTAGAACCACATACTATAGACAGATGCGTGTTTGTCTTTTCCCCCAGCAAGACTGGACCATATTGTTTCTTTTCACATTTCCCAGTGATAAGCAAACTGCATATAGGTGGTCAGTAAAGAAATACTTGCTGACCTCTGAATAAGGATTCCACTTTCATGAGACCGACATGAGAAACCAAACACACTATATTATTTGGATTGAATAGTTGTCTCTTAACTCTGGAGGGTAATGTGCTAAAAGGTTTGTGCTCTGCTTCCTGAAATATGTTTGCTTAGGCCCCTTTAAGAAGTTTAGGGATCATTATCATTAAATGGTGTCATTATCATAAAGTATTAGGAATAACTTTGATCACTTTTATCAAGGCAGCTCAGCCTAACTACTTCTCCTCTTCCTAAAACCCAAGCCAAATTAATAGTTAGACTTCATAGAGCAAACATTAACGAACTCCTGGAAGGAGACTTTAATGACCAATGATTGTTATTTCAGTTAACACCAGCAATCCAAGGTGAGACTGTGAATAAGTCTTACTCTCCTCACCAGAATCCAAGATAAATCAATGTAGGTGGAGCTGGTTAGAACAAGATGCTAAAAGTCCCACTCGGCCTACAGCTCACCTGGAAGCCCACAAAGGAGATCTGCATGGAAAGAATGGTGCCCAGGCAGTAAACGGTGCAGTATGCCACATAGATCCGGTGGGAGAAGCGTCCCGTGAGCATCAGCACCAGTACGTGGAGAGGGATCAAGTTGATCAAGAACACGTAGCCTCCCCATGAAGAGACCTATGACAGGATGAAAAAGAACAGTTCCTCTGAGCACTCCTCCTCCTCCCACCACCAGCAAACTTTGGAATATTACCTGTGACCTTTTTAAAGAACATATCTTTATAATAACTAATAAACTTTATTTATGCCAAATGGCTTAAAGAGTTTAAATAACTGATTTCTTTAAATAGGAAAGCCAAATTCACGCCATTGCTATAACTCAATCCCCTATTCCCTGTGGCTCCTGACATCAAAATCACAAAATAAGAGGCACCCAACCTTCAGGGTGGGTTACTCTAGATGCAAGCTATTTTAAGCTCCCATGGAGAATTTAGGGATATGTGGGAAACATGAGCAAGTGGAAGCAGTTAAAGGAAGAAGTCTAAGAGTATGTGTAAAATCAAACAAATATATATAAAGGGGAGCATATCAGAAAAGAGAGTTGGCCAACTAATATGCACCCATAGAAAATATGGTATCTGGAAAACTTTAAAAATTAAAACATCTTGCTATTATATAATCAACATCCATGCCTGCTGTGGGTTAGTCTTTGTATGGATACAAGAGACAGTAGACTTCTAGCTTCCATTCCATAGTCTCCAAGCTCAAGAGCTACTTCCAATTTATAATAGTTGATCCCAGTAGGTATTCAAACATAGAGAAACTCCTAGAAGAAAGAAGTGAAAAGTTACCATGTAGAAATAAGCAAGGGCACACTTGGCTGCCCAATAGATGGAACCAGTCTTTACTGCTTTGATCCACATGTAGTAAGTGAGTAGCATGCAAAAGATGGCAATTCCTGCAGAAATAATGCAACAAAAAGTCAATAAAGGGCCATACTGGCATACTTTTTAAGAACACCATTCTGAACAAACTGCCTAATTCATATTTTACTACCCTTTTATAGCATAATGATTGTACAAATCAGTCCATAATAGTATCTACTTCATAAGTGTTGTGAAGACAAACTTAATAATTACATGCTAACATATATCTCGCACACAACAAGCACTCAGTAAGTGTTGGCCATTATCATTACTATTCTTTCCAGTTAATAAATTCCCTGCTAGTGTAATCCTAAATATATCCCCTACATCTTGCATTTTCATCTTACTACAAGCAGATCCTTCTTTCCTGACTGCCCCTCTTTAATATTTGCCTGTTGGAAGTACCAGCCTCAGGGTCCAATTCACCTAAACTACTTCCCAATAGCCTTCCCTGTTTCTCAAATCTGAATTAATGTCTCCTTTAACTACATTCCCAAAGTATTCCATTCATATTTCTCTCTTGGTACACAATACTATCTGCTTTTTACTAGTTATGTTTATAGGCCCATACTATATTTACCTTCCTTCATAAAATACAGGCCAATATAATTTTATTCATTATCTATCTCTATAATCTTATTTATTACTATCTTTATATTCCTAATACTTCTTTCCTAATAACACTCAATAAACATAGGTTGAATTGAAAATATGAAGTAAAAGTCATAGTTTTAAGAACATCCATGCTGCTCATCTAGGAAAATGAAACAAATAATGTTAAAACAAGCGTGCCATTCAACACTAATAATTAACTCTACTTTTATAAGTCCAGGGATGAGTCAAATGCTACCTCCTTTCTAGAAGAGAGGACAGGAAGAGAATATAAACTTTTCTGAGATCCTTTCCTGCCTATTCTAATCTTCTTGCTCAGATACCACTTTTGCTATTGCTAAATAATACATGTGAATCCAGGATCTGCACATCGTGAAGTTTCAGGGGAAAATGAAGTGGACAGACCTTCCTTGGCATTTCAGTCTTACCTTCATTATCATAGGAGCCAGCTACAGATCGGGAGATATACCCAGGAACTACAGCAATCATGGCAGCAGCAAGAAGTCCAGCCCCTGCATCCTGTAAGGAAAGAAGGACAACAGGAAGTTAACACCAACTTATCTCTGAGAGGATCCACTAGTCCTTTCTGTTTAACATGGGCTCAGAGAACAGCCAACACTTTCACAGGTAAATGTGATGCCAGAAATGTTCACAGCACAAGACAGCGAAAAACTTCATACCAACTCCCCATGATGGTATCAAGTCTGAAACAGAACACATATGCTAAGGACAGACAAATCACGTAAGCTGTCAGACATCAGATCCTGGCCCCGAGTGGGCTGTTTGGCTGGTGAATCCCCAGTTTTATGAATCCCTAGCGCTAACAGTATCTGTGACACTGCAGGAATACCAGTCACACTTCTAAAAGCTATGCAAGTATAAGCAAAGGAAGACAATTATTATTTGAGCTAAAAAGCCCACAGAGCTAGGTAATAATCTATCTGGACTAAAGATTCCAGGAGCTTAGATAATCAAGCTGCACTATCACCAGGCAATCTGTGAGCTCAGGAGAGAGGAACAACAGAATGTAACTGACACCCAACGTGAGGAAGAACTTGTCTGTTAATAAGAGTCAAATTGGAAACAAGGGCAGCAAGGAAAGTATGAAAAGGCTTCCAAACTAAACTCAAGTTTCCCAAACCTTCCTACTAGTTTAACACCTCTCAAGTATCTCCCTACACCATAACCACGAACTAAGAATAGCCTCCAAAGAGCCAGGGTCAGCAATGCAGAAACCTAGAAAGAGAAGCGGAATTATGGAGTCTCCTACAGAAGCCAAGTGGTTTAAGAATTTTAAAATAAGTCATCAAATAACTAACCACTTTACAATTATGTCCTGTAGTTGTTTTTCCTCTCCTTTTGAGTGTGAGGACTTCAAACCTCACATTTCACATTTTAAATATTTTCCCCCCCTTATGGAACAATTTACATTTGACCCCCAAATGTTCTCTTTAAAGGACAAACAGTTGTTAATGATAAGAAACCACATATTCTAGGGAAGAGCTGGAGTGAACCAATAATTCGGCACAGCAAAAACTGTCTTTAGCCTCTGGCTCCCTGCTAAGGTTGGTTCAGTCCCCCACCCACCGCCATTGACTACAGACGTTCAACAACATTCATTCCCAAGCCTCCTGTCACCACAAATCCTTCACCTTGAGCTCTTTGGTAAGGTGGTACGTGACGATAGTGGTGAAGGAAGAGAAGAGAGGGGCCAGGAACACACAGACATTCCGAATGTCAATGGTGATGTGGAAAAAATGGAGTACATGGTAGATTGCAGCAGAGGTGATCATTAAGCCTGCAACAGGAAGAAGAAACTCCATTAAGTTATCTATAATAATAAAATCGTTATATGCTAATTAAACCAGACAGCAGAACAACCTTCCGGACATCCATCCAGATGACCTTCTGGACGAAGCCAGAGCTGCGAGGGCCGAGCCCCTGCATGAATTTCATTCATCGGGCCTCTAGTCCTAAGATAAAGCACTTAAGGGAAAATGCAAGTATCAATAAAGTAACAACACAGGTTTTGACAAACCACCAGAAATACTAAGACAGCAACTACTATAGGCTTATATTTCTCTCTTAAAAGTTCAGTCAGAAGTACAGAATTTAGGAAGAACTATCCAGGCCTACTCTCCCATACCCCATTCTCCCGTCTATATAAGATCTGCAATCAGAATGAAATTACAAGTGTCATAAAATAAAAATATTAGAAATAAAATAGGAGCTCCAGTGGCGCAATCGGTTAGTGTGCAATATTTATACAGCAGTGCTTGCAGAGTGATGCCGAGGTTGTGAGAAATAAAATAAATTGTTCCACAATTACAAATACTATTTCTGTTTTTTAAAAAAGAATCTCGTTTCACTCACCTGGGTAAATCGTTCCACCAATGATTCGGCCCAATGGGTACCAGGCCCGGTCATCAAACCAGTTATGGAATTTATAAAACCCCTCCTCAGCAAGGAACCGGGTAGTCCGATAATTAAAGTACCTACAGCAAGGGGAAAAGGATCCATGTCTTCACCTCGTCATATTCAAATACTTGTACTAATATGCAGTAAATTTTACTCCTCAGGTTACACCACTAAGAAATTTATCATTACTCCAATAAAAGTCAGTTTGCTACCAAAATTATGCCAAGCATGAAAGTCATTTTATGCTACTGTAAGTCTCATCTGTAGGTCCACGCTTGGCTCAACCAAAGCACGATTCCCTTGCAAGAAAGTGCAGCTAAAGCCAAACATGCTAAGAAGGCGCTCTCTCTAGCAGGACACTGCAGCTGGCTGGCGTGTCGTAGGCATCGCCACAAGTCAGAGAGTTCAAGCACCCAAAAGACAAAACAGCTGAGCTGTGGACACCAATAAATTTGGCTCTTTTCACGTGACAGGAACATGCAAGAGAACATTTCCATACTACATACAAGGACACATGGATAAGTTCAAGTGATGGGCATCTCTAAAGATGGTGGCTTACCACCATCTGCAGGATGAACATTTTTTAACCCACTCCATAATACAAGCTTCTTAATTCTCATGCTATTTAAAATAGTTCTAAATGCCACCTACATAGGAGTATAAAATGTAAATTACATAAAAATGTTTGAAATAAAATGCTTAGTATTATCCATGGAAAGACACAGTTCTTTAGGTCCAAGCTATGTGTCCTCTTAAGTTTCTCACTTAAAAAATAATTTTTTAAAAGGCAAAAAATATAAATAAATAAGTAAATAAATAAATGGAATTGTCTAATTACTAAAGATAATCATGACTAATCATCATTCCTGCTTACCCCTCTAATCCTATTTCCTCCTTGGTCAGTCACGTTTTCACAGCTAAAGCAGAAGTGGCAGAAATCTCTATCTGCTAATGAATGTTGTTTTGGTAACTGTCAAAGAGACAGAAGGGCTCAGGGTAACAGGCAGTCAACATGTGTCAGAAATGTGTCCTTTGCCTACCAGTAGGAGAGGCAGAGGGAGGCGGGAAAAGTGTAGTTTAGTGTGAATAGGTCTGGGGTAGTGTCACACCCCGGGCCTCAATTTTCTGCTCTGCAAGAGGAAATGTCACATCACAAGATCTTTACAGTCTCTCCCAGCTCAATGACTACAGAGCAGATATTCTTGCTTTCTCTGACATCTCACCTCAATGTTTGCCCACCTAGAAAGAAGGTCCTGACTGGTCATTAAGAAACAAGGATGTGAGTTTCCTCATTCATGAGAAAAAATATGAATTGTTTCACCATAATTCTGTCTCCCACGTCCTCACAGCTAACAAGTACACACACAAAATTGACAATAGTGTGGTACAACAAAGAAAAGTATCCATATACCTTCAAAGTGCTTTCTAATATCTACACAAAACAACAAATTTACAAATACACGCAGGAACATTTTGAATCAATGCTCCATACGCTGAACAGGCTATGTTTAAGACATCAATATTTCAAAAACCTATAATTCTAGCTCTCCAAATTTTAATTAAGCCTTAGGCAACATAACATGATGACTCCAGTGTCTAGAGACAGACAAACCTAGACTCAAAGCTTAGCTCCTCTACTTATTAAAGTTGTAACTCTGAATTTTCTCTTTCAGCTTCCTGTCTTATTTGTGAAAAGGAGATAAAATATTACCTTCACTCATAGGGCTGTAGTTAGGTTTAAGAGAGAATCCATAAAACAGTGCTTGGAACAAAATGAATGCTCAATAAATGTATTTCACCTGTATCTTTTTTATCTAATAAGCAAAATCCCTAATCAAACTAATATGTTTAAGTTTTTCTCAAAGTCTTAGTACTTTACTGATAGGTCCAATTTCTACTATATAAATTGTTAAACAGGAAAAAAAAAAAAAGCCATGGATCTCAAGTTCATGGCTTGTGATTTTTTTTTTTTTTTTTTAGCCTAAAAACATAGAACAGGCACCTTTCCCTCAATCTACATCCCTAACTGTTGACCCAGCTGAGAAGCAGACCTTAAAGCAAATGTACTCACGGATCAAACTCGTGGATGACACTTTCAAATCTCAGGACAGCGAAGAGACGAGTGGAGAATGCTGCAAATACCAGAGAATTCATATTTCAATGTGCCATGAATAATAATAGTAGACAATAGAATTTTAAAGATAATAGTACTATCCAGCACAGAAGTCACAGAAACATAAAATAAAATATAAAAGGATGCCTAATGTTTATCCTTCCCACATAAAGAGTTCACTTTCTCCAGATAATGATACCCACATTTTCCACTTAGGCACGACACATTTAACTAGTTACTATCAATGCCTCTAATAACACATCCACCTATTAATACTGCACTCCATTTACCTGGTCATCTTGTATATGTGTTGAGTTCCCCACAACTAACCTTAACTTTGGAGCAAACTAAGAGATAAGGCAATCGAGACTATACTTACAACTCATAAAAAGTTAAAATATCTAAAGTCAGAAATACTAAGGTAGGCAATCACAGTCTTTTTGACAATTCAGTATCCAAGGGTCCTCAGTATCTCATTCAGCCCTATGAGAAAATAGAACTAGCACAGCATGCTCCCCATTCTTTCCCAGCTGTCACTAGTCCTTTTATAACCCTTGTTCTTTTGCCTTCATAAAATTACACTGATGGAGGACAGTAAAAGGAACACATTCTGCTGAAAACAATAAGAAAGCCATTCTTGATTCTTTCCTCCCAAGATTTTCTCCTTTCCATCCCCCAAAGAAAGAGTGCACATGCACACTCACATAACACAGCAGCCATTGACAGAATGAGAAGCTTCAGAAGTGTGTCCTGCTTCTCATAGGACAACCGCAAAAATCCCAGCTTAGTCATCTTGGCATCGATGGGTGGCAACAGATGACACTCAAGGAGCTAAAATGGAAAAATCAAGACCATAGGATGATATTGAACACCTTCCATTTGCCCAATTCTCTTTCATACTTTTTTATTCATTAAAAGTAATTGGTCACTTGCTTATTTTATGGTGGTAGAGAAACATGAAGGAGAAGAGAGCCAAAGAATACATCGGAGAGGGTCAGGGCTAATACTAACGCCCAAGTCTTGCCTGTACAGTCAACTGGCAAGGAAGTGGGCACAAGTCAAGTGTGTGTGTTAAGACTAAAAAGAAATGATTAGACCTATCACCATAATTCTGTCTCCCACGTCCTCACAGCTAACAAGTACACACACAAAATTGGCAATAGTGTGGTACAACAAGTGTACAGAGAAAACACAGAAATGGAAAAATGGGGGTTGGAAGAAGAGATGTAAAGAACATAGAAAAAAAGTTGGCAACAGCGAAAAAATTAATTACAAGGAGAAAGAGCATTCAAGAAGAGTAGGGATGTATGAACGCAAGCAAGGGATGGATATTGAATACAGAACCGAAAACAGAGGAGAAATAGAAGCCTGACTGAATCAGCATAGTTTGCAGGTCCAAATTTCAGTTTCAACTGACTGGTTACAAGCTTCCAAGGACCAGTGACTGCAGGGTCAACTAAAAGAGCATGACTGACCGCTAATGCACGTGTTTTCATACCATAAGCTGGTTAAGGGCTCAGTGATCAAGAACACAACAATAAAGGATATGCAACACAGTCCACGGCTGCAGGGGGATCAAAAGGAACCTGTGCCTCTCTTGATTTCCCCCCTCCCCCCCCCCAGAATTACCAGAGGAGTGGGAGCTGGGGGAACAACACCGGACTGGGTGGAAGGCATGAAGAATCCTATGTTCCTAGCTCAACAGTGAGAAAAATCAAGCATCTTTTCCATAGTTAACTGTCAGAGATGCAGTTATACATGCGTTTATTTATAATTGCAATGGAAAGCCTTATCTTGAAGTCAAGAATAAACACCTAACTCCAGGAAGTCAATATCCCAGCCACGTCCCTCATGTTTGCATTTGTTTTCTGGAATGCCTGAAACAAAAAAAACTTAATACTGCTGAGTTGATATGATCCCCACCTAGAATGGGTAAGAGAGGGAAGGAGAGTAGCAGAACCTCGACCTGAAAGCTGAGCACAGGAGCTGGTAACCTAAGGCCGGACCTTAAAGGAGTTCTCAGTGAGCTCTCTAATCTTTTTCCAACAGCCTCAAGCAAGCACGAGCAAAGGCACTTAAACGCTCTTAAACGCTCCGCATCCCTTCTCCCCAATGTGCCTGCAAGCGTGGCACCCTTGTCCCACCCGGGTTATAGCTTCGGAGACGGCACCTTCCCGCCCCGGTTCGCTTGCACCCTTCCCCACCCTCCCATACTCCTTTTCTCCCCTCCTCCCCCCTCCACTCACCCCTGCACCGGGACCCCGACCCTCTGACAGCCCCACTGCGAGACAACCGCCACCTCGGCATCCAGAGCGCCTTCCCCTCCAGGACCAATCCCATGTCCCGGCAACTCCGCACACCCCCCTACCCAAGTGCACCCGCTTCCCAGACCTGCACATCTTTCCACTCCGGGGCACCCCACCACCACCACCACTACCACCACCACCACCACGCCCCACGCCCCCTCCTCCACGCTGGCCAGGCTGCCTCCCCCCGATCCCTTCGAATTTGGAGCCCCATCTCTGGCCCTTCCTCAATCCCACCGACGCCTTGGGCCGCACCTGCCGCTAATCCTCCAGTTCTATCCCGCGGCCTTCTCACCAGGCCGGCGGCGTTGCTCGGGGATCCGCTCAGCTCCCACGGCCATCCGCTCAGCGGCGCACTCAACCCTGGCAGGGGCCGCCAGGTCCTCCTCCCGGACAGCCCCCCATTGGCTGGCTCAGGGTCGACCCGCCACTTCGGAAGAGTGATAGGGCCGGGGAACTGTCTGTCAGATCCAGAGGCGGGAACGAGGCCGAGCTCCCGCTTCTTGAGTGGGAACTACAGAAGTCAATTAGCATCCGGGAGGCGGGACTTTGTGCTTCCGCCGAGCTGTGATTGGCCTGCCGCCGAGAGAGAGCGGGCCGAAAGAGCGTGCTCCAGGCAGTTTGGTTGAGGGCCGAGGAGTGACGTGTCGGTCGGAGGACCGCGAGGAAGTCGCGCGGTGACGACGGGGTGGCCCGTTGACCTCAGCCACGTGACCAGAAGCGGAAACTACGCGAAGGAACCACCTAAACACACAGGTATCTATTTCTTGTATTTATTTTCCACGTTCATAGGTTGTTTTTGTTTGTTTTTTCCCCCAAGTAACTTTTTCAGAAAAGCTGATCGGAAAGCAAACAGTACTTTAATTTTGTCTTTAAGCATTCGCACCGCTAGGTTTAGAGTTATAGGGACACAATTGAGACCATCCTATTCCCCCCCACACACAGAAGCACAGACATTTTGAAGGCATTCCAATTTTACCTGGAGTTTGTTCTTGAGAAGTTTAATGCCAATGAATCACATTCCTTTGTAGGTAACCTATTTTTCTCTGGTAAATTATGTTTCTCTTGAGACCCCATTTATGGAGGTTTCCCCCCTTCATTTTTCCTGCTGTACACTTGTCCCTTTCTAACTGCAAACTCCAGTTTATCACCATCGGTCTCGGAAATTTTTTATTTCGTTCCTCATGTTTGTCTATTTTCTGAAGTTGCTATTAGACAAATGGATTCCTGATTCTTGGTTACCTGTGTGATTCTTACCGTTTTCTGTATCTTGGACATCTTGCTTTACAATTCTCAGAGGTTTCCACAGTTTTATCTTGCACTTCTCTCATTTCGCCTCCTCGGTGTCACTTTTTTTTTTTTTTAATATATTTTATTGATTTTTTTTTTTTTTTACAGAGAGTAAGGGAGAGAGATAGAGAGCCAGAAACGTCGATGAGAGAGAAACATCGACCAGCTGCCTCCTGCACACCCCCTACCGGGGATGTGCCCACAACCAATGTACATGCCCCTGACCGGAATCAAACCTGGGACCCTTCAGTCTGCAGACCGACGCTCTACCACTGAGCCAAACTGGTTTTGGCTCGTTGTCACTTTTATAAGCCATCTCATTTTATGCCCATAACTGCTGTAATTTGCAAGGACTTTCCTGTGTTGTCCCTTTTTTCACACCAATCTGTTCTTATTTCATTGATGCAGTAGCTTACAAAGTTAATGTGAAGGTAGTTATAATTTTCCAAGTTCCTTTATTTCTAGAATCACAATTCTCCTGGGGACAGGTGGTGGTATGTGTATTTGGTGAAAGCTCCTGAGATGATTTCGAGGGTGATCTCTGGTTAAGAATTACTTATCTAAATTGGTTAAGGATTACTCATCTAAATGGTCAAATGGTCCCCATTTCCCCCCATTGGTCTGCAAGCACTACAAAATATCTAAATTTGAAACCATAGAATGGATAAAACAAGAATGAGGCTGAACTTACAGCCTACTCAGATATTCTAAATCCCAATGTCTTATTCAAGCTGAGACCTGTGGAAATAGTAGCTTCGTATTTGAACATGCTTTTTAAAATTTTGCTTGATTGCCTAGCTGGTATGGCTCAGTGTCATCCCATGCACCAAGGAGTCATTGGTTCAATTCCTGATCAGGGCACATGCCTGGTTAGCAGGCTCCATCCCCAGTAGGGGGTGTACAAGAAGCAGCCAATGTTTCTCTCTCTTTCTACCTAAAAAAAAAAAAATCAATAAAAAACATACTTAAAAAATATACTTGATCACTTTTGTCACTATACTGTTAGGTCCAATTGGGCAGTTATCCTATATTTCTGGTTCATCCTTGAATCTGCAGTGCCTGACAGAGAAGGCACTTAAATGCTTGTTATATTGTTAAGTCGCTATTCTGCTGCTTAAACCTTTTACCTGGTCTGTGGACTCATTTTAGGTCCATACAAAATATTCTATTGTATGGAATTATTAATGGGGACTGGGATTGGGAGGGCTCAAGATTACTGCTAAACTAAAGGTCTCTTCCATTGTATTGCTGATGAATGATAACTCTTACCTGGGCCAATCTTAGTACAGGTAAACACATAAGAATAAAAACTGAATAAATGTCCTACTTCTATAACCAGAAAATAAGTAAATGTAGTTGAAAAATGAATAGGCAGTAGACAACTATATTTGCCCTATTATTCCCTGACTAGAGGCCTGGTGCATGGATTTGTGCATATTGAAAGGAAATTAATTAGAAGGTGGCTGGTGGGGCGGGACTGGGCAAGACAGGCAGGTCATACCCTTGAGCCAACCTCCCGAGGTCCCTCCCCACCTGCTGCACCTGGGGTGGCCCTGGGGCTCAAAGAACATCTGTCAAATGAGCTGGGTCCTTCTGGCAGGTGGGGTACCTAAGCCTGGCCTGCAGGGATTGGGCCAAAACCAGCAGTCCAACATCCCCTGAGGGGTGCCAGAGGGCACTCTGCAAAGTTGCTGTTTTTCGGCAGCTCCTTGAGTGTCTGCCCCCTAGTGGTCAGTGTGTGTCGTAGCTACTGGTCGGAGCCTCTGCACCCTAGTGGTCATTGAGCATCATAGCTAACGGTCCAAAAGTCAAGCTTAGGCATATCCCTTTAAGGTGGTTCACAATCTAACCTTGAGTCACTCTTCTTTGTCCCAATTCCTCTTAAAATTTTATCTTGGCCCTTAATGTAAGAGCAATTAACACGTCAGCTCATAAATATGTTCATTTAAGTTTCCAGCAGACTTAACCTCCTCTCCTCAGGTCTGAAGCATCCAGTTTCTAATTCCCCCCCGAGTTGCTACAAAGGACAACTCAGCTCTAGGCAGGTTAAAAGGGTAATGTTTTGAGCTTCATATACCTGTCCAGGTGGCGATGTCTATACCTGAGCTTTTGTGAACATGATCCCTTAGATCCTACTAGTTACGTGATTAAAACATGATTTTCATTTTTAGTGATTACCAAATTTTTGTTGTAGATATGCCACAGTCCTGGCTTCTCAAGTAGACCCATAAAACTGCAGATTCCTCATTTCCAGTCACTTAAACTTTAAGCATTTTCTATAGCAAGATATAGTGCTGGATAAAATAGAGTGCCTTCATCCACTCAAGCTCCCTCATCTTTCTAAACTAACACTCATTTAGTTAGTACACATACAAATTTCTGGCAGCAGAGATGTGGCCACTTAACAGCTAATTGTAAAAACTTTAAAATTAATCTTAAGGCAATCAATGATCAGTTGCAAGCTGATGAAATACCAAGATCTTCAAAGCAAACAGCAACCTGGCAGTTCTCTGCAGTTCTCATGACAAAGGACCAGGCGTCCAAAGGAGTACTGGAAATAAATCTTATTTTAAATTATGTCTTTTACAATTTTTTTTTTTTTTTTGCACAAACTGGAAAACAATGCTTACCTCCCAAGATGCCCGTTATTTTAAAACTTTCTGCACCTTACATTTGGTTTTCATCTCCCTGTAGTGATTTTTAAACTCTTATTTTGGTTTGTATATTGTACAGTTAGTCAAATGTTGAATCTCTTCTCTAATGAGAATGTTCAATACACTGAAGTCTATAAGGATCTCTCTATCCATGAATACACAGATGTACAAATAGACTTTAAAGCAAATAATTCAACAATCCTAAATTCTTTCCAAGATGTTAACACAATCATCATGATGACATAATCCAAATTTCTCAGGTTACATTCTTCAGGACTAATCTCTTAAAAACTATAAGCAAATTTATCCAAGACAAAGTCTCGGATTCCATGAATATGTTTCTTTCTTTTTTTCTTTTTTAATATATTTTATTGATTTTTTACGGAGAAGAAAATAAAGGGATAGAGGTAGGAATATCAATGAGAATAATCAATCAGCTGCCTCTTCCACACTCCCTACTGGGGATATGCCCGCAACCAAGGTACATGCCCTTGACCAGAATCGAACCCGGGACCCTTGAGTCAGCAGGCTGACACTCTATCCACTGAGCCAAACTGGTTTTGGCTGAATATGTTTCTTGATGTGATTTGTAAATTCAACCATTCCACACCTTGTGGGAAACCAGCTCACATTTAATTGTGACATTTTAAAATTGTACAAGTGTTTTGACATCTACCCCCTCCCCCACTATTGCTCTTTAAAATGACAGAAAAACACCAGTCACAGGTTTAATGGTTTTAATAAGTTTACCCCTTCAGTTCCGATTTGCAGCACCCAGTATCCCCTTTGAAACATCAGACAGACCCGACAATGGCCAACAGTAAATTTCAGACCTGCGGAGTTTAAAGGTTCAGGTTCTCGGAGCATTCTGTGTTGCAGTGGCACTTGTCCAAAACTGGTACCTCCCTGTGGCTGGGGAACGTTAAATGTACCAGTGAAAAGAGCTTTTCCCCTTCAAGGGGAAGAAAAAAAAAATCACCCCTTAAAACCCAGCAGATCTGGCTGTGAGGTCTTTCCTCCTGTCCCATCTCTTCAGGCTTATTTTTTGCAAGTGGAGCAAGAGAGACCAAAATCTAACCTGAGTTACAAGAAACAAGACAGTGATGGCTATAAAGGGAGTGACCGGGAGTAACAGATACTCCTTCACCTCCCACATCCAATGTATGTGCTTCACAGAAAAACAACAAAAACAACAGGTCCACAAAATACAAAAGCTAGAATTACAAAATCCATTCATCCAAGGGTGATGGAAGGCGAGAAGGGGGAGGTGGAAGGGTAAATGGCACGGGGAGAAAAAGTATTCGAATCAGTCCAGGCGAGGAGGGGCTGGCAAATGCTAGAAAAGAGCTGCAGAAAAACCTGTGGGCCTTTCAGACTCACGGGTGGTTAAGAGTCCACAGACTGGTGTCGGGAGATTGTGCCTTACGTGCACCGGAGACAAAAATCCCGATTCCTTAAGAGGCAATGCGCAGAGGGCCCTTGGCAGAGTGGGTCCTGCCTTCCCTGGTGGGGGCGGCGAACAAGGAGAGAACTGCAGAGCCTCCTTCCACTCCCGCTCCTTCCCCCCGGGTGGCAGGGGCCTCAGTGGCCTGCAGCAGCCTTCAGTTTGGCAGGAGACGAATGCGGGGAAGGGAACTTCTCTGCAGAGGCCGAGCTACTCAGGGCGGACTGCAGGTAGACCGTCTTGTGGAAGAGTCTGTTGCTTAAGAAAACCACCAAGGAGAAGAGGCGCAACTGGAAAAGGCTAAAAGGCAAGAGCCAACTTGTTAGACCCCCAGCTGATCAGAAGTATTATTTGACTACATTCAATTTAAAACGACATGGAAAATGAGACAGGTGAAATTTGATCAAGGACGTACAGATACTGGACACATGGATTAAACAGGCAACTAAAGAATGTCCCGGGTCCTGTCACTGTCCTAAGTGTAACGAACTCACCACCATTTGAAGTATCAAAGCTTACTGGAAATACATTTATATTGCAGGTCAATTCTGATCCAAGAAGCACTTTTCTATAACTGACTTCAGGGCACAAACTTCAAGCTGTGTCTGAAGACATTATATGCTGTATGTGTTTCATTTTCAAGAGAGTTTGCAAGACAAAGTCAGGTATTCCGACTAAGACTCACACTGAGCATTGCTGGACAGCAAGAATGAGCACAAACTCAAAACAGATCTGACATAATTGTGTCTCCTCACTGACTTAACCAGAATTGAGCAAAGACTGAGCTTATCTTTGAAGTGATAAAACTTTTGGAGTGCTAGTGTTACTGCTAAAGACTCCTTTTAAACTACTTTTACTATAATTACCAATAAACTCCTATAGCCAGACACATGAGTCCAATGCCTTTTTAAAAAGCTGGCCAGTCCTACAAAAATGAACATAGTTACTGGTGTTTACAAGTAAATTGTTAAATCTTTAAAATATGTATTATAGCATCAACTTTAAAAACATATTCATGTACACACACATATATATATATATGCATGGGGGAAATTTTGGGATATATCCCAGAAGTGTTTTTCTTGCATTGAACTGTACATTAATGTTTTCCAGCAATGTAAGAGGTTATTTTTTTTAAGAGGTTATTTTTAAAAAATGTCTCATTCATATAATTGTGGTATTATAGCCCCAATCCTTAACACAGAAAAAAACATTACTACACTTTGGCTAGTACTGGCTAATACTTACTAAGCTTTGCCAGGGGTCTTTGCTTCATTGGCGCTAATAATGAATAAAGGAAAGAGAATTGAGAAGAGGCAGCCACTGTAAAAAAAAAGAGAAAAGAAAAGAAAAATAATTAGTCACCTTCACAACAGCCATGACTTTGGAGAAAACATGAGAAACCCAAAATTCCTTTGCCTCTGGTGCTAACATTATGGCTGATAAGCCCTTAATAAATCAAACACAAATTTAAAATTTTAAAAAAGCATTTTTCTAAGCGCTGAATATGTTTAACACTGCTCTAGGAGGCAACATAGATGAAATATAGCATTTAGGTCCTGCAGACTAAATGTTAATACTGACAAATGTCTACGAGCAAGTCCTATACATCCTAACAGTCAACAGGAATGAAGGATGCCTAGCACAGAACCAGGCATCCAGAAGATACTCCCTACGCGGAGTCTCATACCACTCCCCCTCCAGTCCCTCCAGCCAAGTTACCTGATAATGTACGAGGACTGCATTGCAGTGAGGAAAGCCAGAGGTAAACCAAATCCAAAATAGTAAGGCCAATTCCTCTCTATGTTTGACAACCGCTGGTGCATTTCAATACCTAAAACAAGGAGCCGACACAATTAAAATTCTTATTTCCTGTTCCTAAAGTGACTAAATACAGGAGACAAGTTTGAGTTTGGGATATAGGTCTGCCATTTAGAAAACAAGTTAAAACAGATAATTCATCATTGTCCAAATGTGTTAAAAGATTTGAGGCAAAGTTTTTACAATTCAATAATCACAATTTCAAAGCTGGCAGGCTAAGTGAATTATGAATTACGCCACCAGCATCCTTTGTCAGGATTAGTCCTAAGCAAAGCAAGATATCAAATAAAAAGTTAGCCATCTCCTAGAAATTAACCTCTTTCAACCGTACATACCCAGGCAAATATGTCAAGGGTTTTTAAAATACCCAAAATTATCTGAATACACTGATGTCAAATTAATTTCTCTAATTCAGAATAACTTCTGCTCATTTCTGGCTCAGTATATCACATTAAGCACCATAAAGGTAATGCCCCATTGCTGTACTCCCCAGCGTCAAAGTTAAGGGTTAAGCCAAAGGTGAGTGCCCTCTTGCCAAAGACACTACTTCCTTCCAAAGATGGGTGGCCAATGGCCTAAGCATTAAGTAGTTTTAAGAAGTCTGCTCAGCGATAGCATTTCCAATAGGAGCTTCCCAGTTTTAGTTTTGAATCTCTTCAGATGGACTTACCTTTATTGAACCAACGGTATTCAAAGCAGTATAGTGAGTAGAGAAGGGACATATGCAGGAGACTAACCAGCTGACCAACAAGGTGGATGGGAAAGAGACTCACGAACATCCCCTGAAGAACAAACATGGAAAATCTTAATTCCAAAGTTTCAGAGACCCAACGCTGCTCACCTGCCATTCTGTGTTATTACTCTGCCCAAGGAGCCATTCAGTTATTTCTCAAATTTCTGAAAAGCAGGAGAGCGGGGAATGCCCAGGTGGCAGGGAAGGACAGGTAAATTCATGTTTCTTTTCTGTGATTTTTAAATTCCCGAGTTTCTGTAAAAAGCTTATTTAAAAATCATTACCTCCCTTAAAGCATATCGGCCCCAGTGTAAATGCAAATCCCCGTCTGGGTAAACGCCCGCTAGGGAACCTTTCCTTTGAAAGCTGTGCGTGTGCCCAGTCTCACCTGGATGAGGAAAAGAGCCTGGAGCAGGAGGTTGAAGAGCATGTCAGCAATGATCTTGCTAACACTAGGGAATGGGTGAGGCTTCCTCCCGGATACCTCGAATGCCAGGTCGGCTATATCCTGTAACAGAGAAAGTAGCTCACCCAACCAGGAACAAAATGGCCCCTGTCCATTCCAAAGCCAAGGCCACTGATCTTCCCTTGGATGTGCCAGGGGAGAAAAGCTTTGTTGGCCCGACACAGTCATTGCATTTTACAGGAGCACAAACACCACCCACTGGCTGGTCGAGATTTTTCCCTACAAAGGCCACCAACTTCACAGGCTAAAATCTGCCACCCGTCACCCCTCGCGCTACAGGACCCAGCCTCCATTCCCCGCTGGACCTACTTGGAACCAAATGGCGTTCACCACTTTGCTAAGCACAAACAGGGGGAGCACCCAGAGAGCGCTGAAAATTGACGTGAGGAAGAATTCCAGCCACGACCAAACATCTCCGTGTAGAGATGGATCACCTACGAAAGGGGAAAAGAGTTAGCTTAACTGGAGAAATGGAAAACCAGAAGACCAAATGGGGAACTCCTAACTATTCCTCCCCACCCCAACCCCACACATATCTTGCCTTTTTCAGATAGTCTTATTCTTTACAGACACACCAAATTCTGGCCACAACTCCCGGTCACAGTAGCCATAGATATGTGCTGCTTGCCCCGAGACAAACCTGCTTACCTGGTGGTGACTGAGATGTCACAGTGATTAACAGTAAACAGTATGCAGGAAACTCACCCAGCTCTGCCATTTACTAATGATTTAACCTTGGTAACGTTCATTTCCTCACCCATAAAAGAACATCTATAACAATACCCACTCTCGAAGGGTTGTTGAGAGGTTTGAGTTTAGAACATCCCAAGCTCCTGCTACATAGAAAGAGCTCCATAGACTGAGGGAGACAGGGAAAAATCTCCCTCTATCTCAGGCAGACAGCACCGTACTTACCAATAATCTGGGCAGTTACTGACTGAAGTACAGGAATAAACACTCGATAAAACAAGAGGAGACTGAACTAAAGGAAAGAAGCAAGAAGGTAAATATTAAAAGCCCTTCTTCAAAAAAAAAAGAAAGAAGAGCTCCAAGTTTCAGTGCAATTATTTTCCAGATGGAGGCGACTTTATCAATTAGAAGGCCTGAACAGCACCAACACTTGGCCCACTTCTATTCCCAATACTCCATCTAAGAGGCACAAGCCTGATACTGCCTATAAAAGCAGTAAACCTTAGGAGGCAGAGAAGAACATTTCAGATAGTATACAGGACAAAATAAAGGCACAGACTAAGTACTCAGTCATATTTTATTAATTAAAGTTAACACCTGGGAACATCTGTGAAATGTTACAGGAAACAAATTACATCGAATTCCAAGTCTAAGGAAATATTTAACTACCTGTTTGTTTTTTAAATTTCACCTAAGGCTGGGTTGCTTCTCAATTAATTTCAGGCAATCTTTTCTGGTGTGGGTTTCAGCAGATATCAATTCTAAAAGATTGCTATAACCAGATGAGGGGAGACCCTTGTGGTCCTTCATCTGCCATTTCCCTCTGCCCCCCCCCCATAGATGTTCTTAGCCAAAATGTCCAGACAATGTCAACAGAAATTATTAACCAATAACAACATTAAAACATGTGAATAAGTAATTTAAAAAACTTATTTTAGGGACAGCCTTTTGTTTACACACAAGTATTCTCTGAGTGGGAATAACTCCAGTTGCATAGAATCCTAAGTTATAGTCTTAAGCATGTGTCAGCTGGCAAAAACTACTTGTCTCAGTTTAAAGAAAATGGAAGATTATTAACAGTAACAATATGAAGATACTTATAAGGCACCTAGAGTTTAAGGAAAAAGAACTTACCCAGAATACTCCGCCATTCCAAGCGCAGCACTGGAAAATTCTACTAACGATACGTGGCTCACTGGAAAAGAACATGTGTTTAGCTTACAAGGCAGATAGGCCATTCCATACTGTCATTCAGTAGCTCCCCATTTTATATCTTCTGTTGGTATTAATTTTCCAGTACCTGTTGTTCTCCCAGTATTCTCCTAATGCCAGTCAATAAGACTAAAAATATTTCTAGAGAAGCAGCTTTTCTCAGAACAAAAAATTTGTTTTCTAAAATCCAAGACTGGCCAAAACCGGTTTTGGCTCAGTGGATAGAGCGTTGGCCTGCGGACTGAAAGGTCCCGGGTTCAATTCCAGTCAAGGGAATGTACCTTAGTTGCGGGCACATCCCCAGTAGGGGGTGTGCAAGAGGCAGCTGATCAATGATTCTCATCGATGTTTCTAACTCTCTATCACTCTCTCTGTAGAAAAATCAATAAAATATATATATATCCAAGACTGGAGAAGATTAAAAGAGGATGTCTGGTATTCTACCAATAAATAAATCTATGTAGGCTCTCCTATAAGTATCCGTCAACCCAAATAATTCTTTTGTGGTTCTCTATTCATCATTCTTTTTAAAAAATATATATTTTATTGGGATGTGCCCTTGACCAGAATCGAACCTGGGACCCTTCAGTTCACAGGCCGACACTCTTTCAGCTGAGCTGAACCGGTTAGGGCTCTATTCATCATTCTGATTAAAAAACAAAAAACAAGCACCATAACATTTGAATAAGGATTACTGCTAAACCCATGTAGGCGGGTGGAGGAGAATAACCACATTTTGGGGCGAGAGATTATAAAAAAACAGTTGGGGTGCTACTAAAACTCCGAGAGTCACTACATACAGTCTCAATTGTGTGCTGAGAAGCAGTCATGTCCTGAAGGGCCTTCCCTTAGAGGGGGCTCAGACATTCCTGACACCAGCCGCGGCTCCTCACCTCTCTTGCTTCCTCTCTATGCTCTGGGCTCTTCTTTGCGCCAGGACACTACTTGCTCTTCTTCGACGCTGCTCCTCTCTCTTTTGCTGAATTCGAGCATCGAGCTTTGAGATGGTACAAATCCCCCAGATGGAGTCTTTGATTCCCTATAGACAAGAGTATAAAACAAGAGTATTTCAAGAGGGAAAATTATGGCTCAGGGAATACTTATATGCAGTAAAGTGATATCATAGTGGAAACCACTGTACTTATTTTGCTACGTGGCTTATGGGAACCTTGATTTTTTATTTATTATGAAATAATTCCCAATTTGTAGAAGAGTTGCAAGAATGGAAAACTTCCTAATTCCTTTTTCCTCCAGATTCCCCAGATTAATATTTGCCACATTTACTATTACATATAAAATAGGGTCACACACACATTTTTTCCGAGTCATTTGAGAATAGGTTGCTACATTTCCCTTTACTTTTAACTTCAGTGCGTATTTCCTAAACAATAAGCAATAATCCAGTATGGCTGGAGGAGAATGTCCTTAAAGAATATATGACGTGGGGGAGGGCTGTTAACTCTATAAAGACTGTGACAGAGGCACTAGCCAACCATACTGGAAGAGCTCCAATAGCAGAAAGTTTACTGTTTGCCACAAACGCCAGAACGGCCTATCACCCACATACCAAGCATCTCCAGTGAGCCAGACATGGGCCATATGGAAATGCTCAAGAAAATAGCAGGAAAAGCATACAAGTAAACAACTATAAGCCCTATAGTTTAATTAAGTGCCACTTTTATGTCCCAAGTAGAGTGATAGCATTGGGGTACCTAACTTCATGAAGCAGCAGCACAAAAAGGCAACCTGGAAGCAATGGTGAGCCCACCGTTTTGAGCCCAAGTAAAAGCTGGAGATAATCACTAGGATGCAGAGACACAGGCAGATGTCACGAACTCCCGATTGATAGGACCATAAAGTGGCACAGTGTGCACCTGATCTTTTACCTATGAGCAATTTTTAGTCTTATTTTGCTTTTAACTTCTAAACCTTCCACAAATAGTTTAAATATTCTAGATAGTAGAGTTCTAATGGCTAAGAGCCTAGTATGTGCTAGAATGATGACAGGATCCCCACCTGAGACACTTACAGCCCCTGGGGTAGACAGACATGTCAAGTGTACAATGCAGAACTGATCCAGGGTTGAAATTTTATCACACAAGGAGGTAAAGGTATGAAAAGTAGATCATGTTGCATAGAGTCTCTTTAGCCCTTCCAAGATACTCCTTCAATTTCTCTTTTAGCTCAAACTCCCCAACCCCATCAGAATTGGCCTCTCTCCTGCTCCTAGGAATATAGCTAGAGGGGCCACAGGTAGGGCATTAGACCTCAGACATCTACTATTATAACAGAATTTGTTTTTAATATATTTCATTGATTTTTTTTTACAGAGAGCAAGGGAGAGGGATAGAGAGTTAGATGAGAAAGAAAATCTATCAGCTGCCTCCTGCACACTCCCTACTGGGTATATGCCTACAACCAAGGTGCATGCCCTTGACTGGAATCGAACCTGGAACCTTTGAGTCCACAGGCCGAAGTTCTAGTCACTGAGCCAAACCAGTTAGGGCCACTAAAACAGAATTTTATGCCATTGGAAATCTGGGTGACTAGGTTCTGAGCAGATCTTTATGGAACATTTTCCTAGGGCATCTGCACCTTATAAAAAGGGGGTGTCTCTAATTTAAATCCAAATGTAGTAGTTTACATAACAGATGTAACCAATGTTCATTGCTTAGTTTTGACCAATGTGTTGTGGTTACAGAAGACGCTAACATTAGCAGAACCTAGTGAAGGATACAGGGGAACTCTGGTACTATCTTGCAACTTTTCTGTTAAGTCTAAAGTTATTCCAAAATAAAGTTAAAAATTAAAAAAAAAAAAAAAAAAAAAAGGCTCTGCCGAAACTGGTTTGGTTCAGTGGATAGAGCATTGGCCTGCAGACTGAAAGGTCCCAGGTTCGATTCCGGTCAAGGGCATGTACCTTGGTTGCTGGCACATCCCCAGTAGGGGGTGTGCAAGAGGCAGCTGACAGATGATTCTCTCTCATTGATGTTTCTAACTCTCTATCCCATTCCATCTCTGTAAAAAAAAAAAAAAAAAAAGCAATAAAATAAATAAATAAGTGAATATATATATATATGGCTCTGGACCCAAGCTGACCAGGATTCTAATACGGATAGAAACCAGAAAGGTCTACCAAGCTTCTGCAAGCCAGGGTAATGCCTATCTCTTGAGTAGAGTGGATTAGAATGAAAACCAGTACGTGAAGGACCCAACAAATACCTAAAGGATTTCCTAGTCAGTTCCTACAGTAAAAGGGTCAGGAGATGGCTTCATGTACTCACCCGGCCAAGGTCCTGGAGAAAGGTTTTGACACTGTCAGCCATATCTTCACCACCCAAACTACCAACTATACAGAGGAGAGGGAAGCACCCCAAAATCTTTCATCATGAAGAACCTGGAAACATAATGGGAGAAAAATGTTTATCTAAAGATAAGGAACTTCATGTACATTTCTGCATGATGCCATTTCCCACATACTTGCATCGCTAAGAGGAGTGCAATAGATTCTAGATTCTAGCCCTAAGATACTAGGACAGTGAACTAAGTAAGGTTAACCCAGCAACTAATAAAATCTGCAATGGATAAATTACTTTTTAATTTAATTTCCACTTTTACAAGGGTAAATGGCTCTGAGATCAGTAATCTCCTCACTGGACTTTGATGTCTCTAAATCCCCCCACACACATTCCAATATCCCCTTAAGCTCTGTAGTTATGCTGGTGTATAACCTCTAACACTTGAATGAAAGTTCTGGCAAAAATTACTAAATATGCACTTCATGCACAAGGCTCCTTGGCACACAGTTCAGTTTAAGACATGTGTGAAATTTCCCACCAAGATCTCCAAAATGAGCCTCCATTCGCTTTCCAATTTTAAAATATCCATATAAAAGTGCAATTTTAGTAAGCATGCAAGACACAGTGGATTTTATTTAAACTTGGCCAAAAAAAAAGTTCACGCATACAAATATTCTTTAACTCAATACAACTTTCCCATTTTATTTCTCAGGTAAATGACAAATCTACCTTCAAAACTTAAGAACTTGAAAGCTCACATCTGTAAGTATTCTTCAAATTTGTGTTCCCATTTAATGTCATTCAGGTGAATGATAAAATCCATTTTAAAAAATTTTATTAAAGAAATTGGAATTCTAGCCTGGGCCCAGTGTACTCAATGGTTAGAGCATCAGCGCATGCACGTAAGGGTCGCAGGTTCAATTCCCACTTTCCCTCCCTTCTCTGAAAAAAACAAGGGGAAAAAATATCCTCAGGTGAGGATTAACAAACAAGCAAAAAACAAAAACAAAACAACTTGGGATTCTAGAACTCTCAATCCTCATTAAATCAAATCTAAGGTGTTATCACATTAAGAGACAGCTCATAAAGACAGCATTTCACAGGCAGCTTATATAAACCTCAAACTTCAAAACGTAAGCACACTTTCTCTGACCTAAAACTACCTCACCAAACTGTACCTTCTTGACCCAACTGGACTAATGCCACCCAGAACTGAACGAGCAGGGAATGTAACAGCAGGAAGAAGGTAACTTGCACACCATCTGAACCATCCGCTTCTTAGGTCAAATCCTACACAGATGCACTCCCTTCAGGTAGAGAGGTTTCCATGGTGAGAAACTTCTCTTACTACTCCCAACTTGAAAACAAACAAAAAACCATCTCAGAGTGCAAGATAACTCGGTGCCAGGCAAGTCGTAAAATGTTCAATGATGACACACGAGACACTGGTTTGGAAAGACCACCATGAATCCACTCTTTACCTAATCTATATACTAAGGGTATTAAAATCTTCATGTTCTTAAGTGCCATAACATGAAAATAAAAATTTCTCTATACACATCATCGCACTCCAAAATGATCTAGCGTGGGAGTTTAAGAAGCCACCTATTTAGCCTGGATTCCTCCCGGGGCATAGAGAGCCCGAAGCAGGTCAATCCTAGGCCAGTAGAGCAGCTCTGTTATCTGAACCATGGCCATTAACACCTGGCTTCTGCACGCACCCGAGTGGCAGGTTACCTACTGACCAGCAGTGGCCTCTGAAAGATAGGTCACTTCCATTCTACGCGGAGATCCTAGCGGCATTCTTCCCCCCGGGAATATTTGGGATTTGCCGGTTTGACCAAAAAAAAAGCTGAGGCTTGGAGAAAAGGAAACCTGCCACCATCTGAGACCAACCACACCGAGACTGAACAGCGCAGCGGGCACCCTCCAACGAACCTGGAAGGAGAGACAGTGCAGCCGGCTCACGTCGTGTTACAGACGGGGGAAACTGAGTCTCCAAGGATGAATGAATGGCTCGCCCAAGGAGGCAGCAGTGTGAATGGGCTACAGCAAACGTGACAACCCCGGTGTTCTACCCTCGGTCGGACTGTTTACTCCAGAGGACTGTTTGTTTACCCCGAGCATTCCATTGGGCAACATGTCCCTCAATCCTGGAAATACCCGTGGCCGCTGAGTGCCTCGCCGTCATTAGAGCTCATTAGGCGGCATCGACGGAGACACGGAGCCCCAGTCCGGAAAGCAGGAGGCGGGCAGCCCCGCGGCAGGTGCAGGTGCAGGAGCGGTGAGCGCCCTCCTTTTCCACCGGCCCCTGGACCGGCTCCAGGTCCGCCCGGCCGCGGCTCAGGTCCCCGGCGATCCCCACCGAAAGCCGCGATCTCCCTCGGCGCCCGCAGCGGGTACCCGGCACGGAGCCGCTCGCCTCGCACCTGGGTCACCCGGAGCCTGGGGCCACCCCGCGCCGCACCCGGGCATTCTCCTTCCAGCGGGGGAGGGGGGGCGCCCCCCGGCAACCACACGACCCCGAGCGCGGGCCCTGCAGACCCTCGCCGCCCCCGCCGCACTCTCCCTGCGCCCGGGTCCCCGCCGCGCGCCAGCGGCCCCGCTCCGCCGAGCCCGCACCTACCCGGCAGCCCCGCCGCTCGGCTCCGACCCGGCCCCCCGCTCCCCGCGGGCCGCTGGACCCTCCGCGCCCACAGCCGGCAGCCGCCCGGGCGCTCCCAGGGCCGAGGCCGCTGCGCCCGCACTGGGCATGCCCGGGCCGCGCGGGGCGGTGGGAAGGCGACGGGCGCGGAGCCATCGACCCGGGGCGGAGGGGGCGGGGCCGCGGCGGCGGAGGGGGCGGGGCCAAGCCGCACCTGCACTGGGCATGCCCGGGAGGCCGGGGCGGTGGGCGGGGAGCCGTCAAGGCAGAGGGGGAGGGATCCCCTGGGCAGCGGAGGCCAAGGGGAGCTGTACCCGCACTGGGCCACGCCCAGGGCAGAGACAGGGTGTGGGCAACGTAGGGCGACGGAGCCCGGGAAATCCAGTTGGCCCACAGGCCCATGCACGTCCCGCGCCGCATCTGGGGCGCCCAGCCTTTCCTTGTCGCTTCCCTGATTCGGGTTCTGCCGGATCCGCCTTCCCGTTCTTAGCCCTCCCCCATTTCCTTCTGCGAAGTTGCATGTCCTTATGAAGTCTTATGAAGCCTGACAGTAGTAGGATAATAATACAGAAGTCACCTTGGTTTATTTGGTTGGAAATTTTCTGTAACCAAAGGTACCAAGCAATGGTAGGCTTAAGTCAAGCTTCAAATGATTAATAGCACGAGCGGCCGTGCCATTCGGCTGCATTAGGAGTATACTCTTCTGGCAAAGTGATGGTTAAGATCAAAACATAAAAGCAAATAGAAATAAGACTTCATCTCCATCCCCACCAGTCCACTTCTATCCTAGGAACAGGCATTTTCTCGGCATCAAACCATCAAGCCCTACCTATAACCTTTCTCTCCCGATATCCGATTGCTGGTTTGGACCCGATCCCACAGGCCTAAACCGGCAGTTGGACACTCCCTGAGGAGTTCCAGATTGGAAAGGGTGCAGGCCAGGCTGAAGAACACCTCCTCCCCATCCCCCTCATCCTCACACACACAAGTTTTGTGCACCAGGCCACTAGTCTACAATAATAAAAGTGTATAAATTGCTAGTTAGACCAGACATCCTTCCGAAGACCTTCCAGGCAAACCCAAGGACTGGGATGGAAGCCCAGGTCCTGGGTGCCAGAGGGAAGCCGGTGCCGTCAGCCGGGGGAAGGAAAGCCTACTCTTGCTTTATATTTATAGGCCTGCACAACCACAGACAAGAGCTTCACACCATGCTCCTTGTCCGTCCAGCCACAGAAATCTCAGAATGCCCTGATTAAAACCAACCAAAGCAGGGCAGTGTCTCTGGTCCCCAAGTGGATCAGATTTAGGACTTGGAGACCAAGCAAGGACCACTGGAGGCCCCCTGCCAGCCGGAGCTGATCAGGCTCACCTGGAGAACAGGCAGTAAAATGCCTCCCATGGCACACACTACTGCCATACAAAGAACATACTTCCTTACAAGGAAGCCCAGACAGGAGGCAAGTACTTCTCCTGCCATACAAACAAGCTGGATTCCTCCCTACAAAACCGCTTGAGTCAACTTAGGTCTCAGGTGACACGTCGAGAATTGCTGAGGCTACAGCTGGAACTCAAAACAGGAAAACGCCTGGCAGCCCTGCAAATAGAGTCCAGACCTCTGCCCCAGGAACCCCCAGTCCAGGCAGCAAGCGGGATCCTCGGCACTCACCCCAGAGGTGTCTCTTGCTTACGTCCTTTCGTGGTCGCCAGAATACGAACTGGGCGATCAGTGGGTCTGCGCTGCCTGCCTGTCTCTACTTGAGTTAAGCAGAGACGGTTGAATCAGAGGAGCCTTTACTCCAACACTGCTGGCAGTGTGGGAGAGCAGCACACCACCCACAAAAGTCTGCTCGGCAATGTCCCGTAAACCAGCAGTTTACAGAGGGTAAGACAAGGATTGTTAGGATTAGTAGGGATTACAGGCATGGGGAAGTAGGCAAGGCTGGCTCGGGTGGGTCTCCGTTATTCAGGCAACAAGGTTGTTAATCTTTACATGATAATAGGCAATTTTTGAATGTGACTGGATCACACCCAAGGCTGACTTCCCAGGTCCTGGGGGCAGACAACTCCCAGCCAAGTCAAAATTCTTTCTTTCTTTTCTTTTCTTTTCTTTTCTTTTCTTTTCTTTTCTTTTCTTTTCTTTTCTTTTCTTTTCTTTTCTTTTCTTCCTCCCTCCCTCCCTCTCTCCTTACCCAGAGGATATTTTTCCTTTGATTTTTTTTAGAGAGAGGGAAAGACAGAGAGAAATATCCATGTGAGAGAAAGACATTGATTGTTTGCCTCCGGCATGCACCTAGACCAGGAAGGAGCCTGCAACCAAGGTACGTGCCCTTGACCGGAATTGAACCTGGGACCCTTTGGTTCGCCCTCCGATGCTCCATTTACT